ATGCCTATAGCCGACATGATGATCAATGATGCTTCGGGTCATAAGGTGATTAGCTTTTTAGATGGTAATGCCGGCTACAATCAAATCTTTATGGCGAAGGAAGATATGTACAAAACGGCTTTTAGGTGCCCGGGATTTGTTGGTTTGTTTGAGTGGGTTGTCATGACTTTTGGATTGAAGAATGCCGGTACAACATATCAAAGGGCAATGAATTTGATCTTTCATGATTTGCTAGGTATTATCTTAGAGATCTACATTGATGATATTGTTGTCAAATCGGATGGTATGGAAGGACGCATAGCCGATTTGAAGTTAGCTTTTGAGAGGATGCGCCGGTATGGTTTGAAGATAAACTCACTTAAATGTGCTTTTGGTGTGTCGGCGGGGAAGTTCTTAGGATTCATGGTGCATGAGAGAGGGGTTGAGATTGATCCTAAGAAGATAGAAAAGATTCGTGATTTCAAAGCGCCGAAATGTAAGAAGGAGGTCCAAAAGTTGCTAGGTAAGGTGAATTATTTGAGAAGGCTTATTTCTAACCTAGCGGGTAAAATCGATGCTTTTGTTCCTATACTTCGCTTGAAAAAGGAGGCCGATTTTACTTGGGGGGCAAAACAACAAGATGCGTTTGAGGAGTTGAAGAGGTATTTGTCTACTCCACCCGTTGTGCGGGCGCCTAAAACCGGAAAACCTTTTCGGTTATATTTTGCCTCCGAAGACAAAGTCATTGGTGCCGTTTTGACGCAAGAGGAAGATGGCAAGGAATATATCATTACATATTTGAGCCGCCGTCTTTTGGATGCCGAGACGAGGTATGTCTTTATAGAGATACTTTGTTTGTGCTTATAGTATGCTTGTACCAAATTGAAGCATTATTTGTTATCTATTACATGCATAGTTGCTTGTCAAACTGATGTTATTAAACACATGTTGCAAAGGCCAATTCTAAGTGGGAGAATTGGCAAGTGGGCGTATGTTTTGATAGAATATGATTTGGCTTATGAACCATTGAAATCTATGAAAGGCCAAATCATATGTGATTTTATAGTGGACCATCATGTATATATTGCTTATGAGGAAGAGATTTGCCTAGTTGAAGTTATACCTTGGAGGATTTATTTTGATGGTTCTTCTTACAAAGAAGGTCTAAGGCATAGGGGTAGTTTTGTTTTCACTTAATGGCGTGTGTTATGAAGCATCGGTTCGTTTGGAATATTATTGTACAAATAATCAAGCCGAATACAATGCTTTGTTATTCGGCTTACAAGTCATGGAGATGGTTGGAGCTAAGTACGTGGAAGCTTTTGGTGATTCGGAATTGGTGGTGCAACAAGTCGCCGGAGTTTACAAATACTTGGATGGATCACTAAATAGGTACCTTAATTCATGTTTGGATATTATTGCCAATTTTGATAATTTTGCTATTAGACATATTGCTAGGCATGATAATTCTAGAGCAAATGACTTGGCACAACAAGCATCTGGTTATAATGTGAAGAAAGGATTATTTCTGATATTAGAAGAGCCGGTGCTTGATTTTAAATCTTTGTGCGAAATTGGCAAAACTGGAGACCAGGAGCGGTCTGACCGGCATTGCACGGCCGGTCTGACCGGTGACCAGGGGCGGTCTGACCGGCCACATGCCGTCGGTCAGACCGGCGACCCCGAGCGGTCTGATCAGTTCTGGGCAGAGCGCTGGGGGGCACTTTTCAATCAATTTAAAGGCCGAATTAATTGTGAATTCGGACATTTGTGCCCAAGAAACAGAAGAAGATTGGAAGATTCCTTTGATTCGATATTTGAAAGATCCCACGCTTAAGGTTGATCGGAAAATTCGGCGGCAAGCATTCAAGTACACATTGCTTGATGAAGATTTATATCGCTGAAATATAGATGGTGTCTTGTTAAAGTGCTTAGATGAAGATCAATCTAAAGTGGCTATGAGAGAGGTACATGAAGGAATTTGTGGGACTCATCAATCGGCCCACAAGATGAATTGGTTGCTTAGGAGAGCGGGGTTTTATTGGCCGACGATTATTGATGATTGCTTCAAATATTATAGAGGATGTGAAGCTTGTCAACGGTTCGGCAATGTTCAATTGGCGCCCGCCGCCGTGTTGAATCCTATAATCAAACCATGGCCGTTCCGAGGTTGGGCTTTAGATTTCATTGGTCAAATTTATCTTCCGTCATCAAAGGGGCATAGATTCGTGCTAGTTGCTACGGATTACTTCACCAAGTGGGCCGAAGCTGTGCCGTTGAAGAATATGACTCATACGGAGGTAATTGACTTTATTTTGAAGCATATTATCCATAGATTCGATATTCCACAAACATTAACTACGGATCAATGTGCTTCTTTTATATCTAAGGAAGTGAAGAATTTTGCCGAATCTTATGGTATTAAATTGTTGAGTTCTTCTCCTTACTACGCTCAGGCTAATGGACAAGCCGAGTCGAGTAATAAGACATTGTTGAAATTAGTGAAAAAGAAGATTGAGGAACACCCAAAGAGGTGGCATGAAGTGCTTTCCGAAGCATTGTGGGCGCATAGGATATCTAAACATGGTGCCACTAAATTCACTCCTTTTGAGTTGGTTTATGGTCAAGAAGCCGTTTTACCGGTTGAGGTAAATCTTGGTTCTCTTCGTTACATCAGGCAAGATGATTTGTCAAGTGAAGATTACAAGACATTGATGGGAGACAACCTTGATGAAGTCATCGACAAGCGCTTGAAGGCTTTGGAAGAAATAGAAAAAGAAAAGAAGAGGGTGGCCAAGGCGTACAACAAGATGGTGAAAGCAAAGTTGTTTCAAGTTGGAGACTTGGTTTGGAAGACAATTTTGCCTTTGGGTACTCGATCCAGGGAGTTCGGTAAGTGGTCACCTAGTTGGGAGGGTCCTTATCGAGTATGCGGCATTGTTCAAGGAAATGCATATTTCTTGGAGACACTTCAAGGGGAGCGTTTTCAGCGAGCAATCAATGGGAAATACTTGAAGAAATACTTCCCGAGTGTGTGGCAAGACGCTTAGGAGGTACTATGGCCGGTAATTGGATTATAGTCCTAAGACCAAAACATGTTCTATGCTTTTAGATTCACGTTGTTCATCAAAAAGGCAGGGGGGCATGTGTTTACACCCAAATTTGGCACCTAGGATTAAAATAGGAAAGATTGCCAAAATTTGGAAGTCTACCGGTTTCCTCCGAGTGGGCCGGTCTGACCGCCGTGTGTTGGGCGGTCAGACCGTCGGTTGAGGGCCGGTCAGACCGTCGGTTGAGGGCCGGTCAGACCGACGGTGTGTGGCCGGTCTGACCGGCAGGTCCGAGTCCGACTGCGTTTCGTCGGGTTTCATGGTTTCCTTGCTCGGGAAGGCATGTTTCGGGTTTCCTTTAGTTTCTACCCCGAGTTGGATGTGGAGGAGGGCCTGTAGAGGACAAGACCAACCCCTATATAAGGGACATGGCTGGTTCATTGTAAAAAACCAATCTACAATCAATCAATCAAATCGTTTTTCATATTGCTTTCAGTTTTCTCTTAGTTTGTCCATCTTTGTCGGTTTGCACCGTAAACTGTCCGCCGCCGTTGCGAGAGTGCGACATTTCTTTGTAGGTTTGTCCTGAAAACCTTCCGTTTTGCCCACGAAACGAGAAGTTATCTTAAATCGGCTCCACTAGCCGGTTTATTTGTCAAAACCCATCTAGATTTAGCTCTTTGCTAGATCGAGGTGGTTGGCGACTCTAGGATCACCGCAAGGCATAAGGTGCTGCAATCGTTGTTGTCAACTTGTCACAAAAAATTGCCAACACACTGATGCCCTGCTTTATAGAGAAAACGAACGGTCTGCTGGGGTAGAGCAAGCTTTACCGAGTTTAGCTCAGACTTAAGGCTGCAGAAAGGGTAAGAAGAGGGAGAAGAGCGTTGATTGCAATCCTACGTAGAAGGAAGCCAGGGAGGGAGTCCATGGCATGGAGTAATCGGACAAGGAGGCGAATGCCCCTGCAGTTCCCATGATGATTTCTCATGGCAGCCCGTCCGACTGCGAGGGCGGGGAATGAGTGGCTAAGGCCCTTCACAGTGCAACACCGTGGATCGGTGCTATGATGCACCACGTCGGAATCGAGCTTGCGTGGCGCTAGGTTCCGCGCCTCAGAAGAGACACTCGCTCCCACGGAGAGAAGCGCTATAGAGCGCGTTGCCCCGCGCCCCCGCCCGCTCGTGACCTCGCGCCACCCGTGGAAGTGTTTTCCCCAAATTCGCCCACCAAATTCGCGGCAACAAATCAAGGAACACGCCCACCAAAATAGTGGCAACAAATCAAGGAACACAAATCGCGGCAACAAAATCACCGCTTGCCGCTCGGCCCCGAGGAGATTTGGAAAAATCGCTAACATCGCGGCAACACAAATCAAGGTCGACGCCAAGCTCCGCCGCTCATCCCTGATGCCGCCGCCGCTGCCGCTCATCCCCGAGGCCGCTGCGCTCCTCTGCATCGATGCGCCGACGGATGGGGAGGAGGGAGAAACGGCGCGGCGGCTGGGGAGCTTGTTAACTCGCCGCCCAGGGATGAGAGGGGAGAGGCGGCGTCGTCGAGCCGGCGCCGGCGGAGGGAGGAGGGGCGCTGGCGGAGGGGCAATGGGAGAGCTGGTGGAGTTGGGGGAGGTGAGGGCGTCGCAATCTCTCATGCCACTGAGCCTCGCCTTCGCTCGATTGGGGGAGGGGAAAAAACGCTCGAAGGCGGCGCAGAGGAGCGATGCGGCGTGGCTGAGCTGAGGAGCGATTCGGCGGGCGGAGAAGGCGCGGTTGTGCGGATAGAGATGGCGAGTCGCGAGAGATGGCAAGAAGCCTCGAGAAGTAAAAAAAAAAAGAAGAAAAGGAGATGCGGGTGTAGTTGAGGAAAGTTTAGGGTAATTTATTTCTTTCTGCTGTTTGGTACACTCAATCAAGGATACACCACTGTGGGCTAAAATTTTTTGGGCTCTATTTGAGGTCACGTGCACTCGTGCAGTGTGGAGGTTGTTTCTTTCAACGGTGCTAGGCCTAGCTGGCGTACGGGGTAACTCAATATCGGGTGCCTGCACTGCTATCGCCCTAAACGATCTCCCTCTCCAGAGCACGATTGGCGTGGTGTCGCGATGGATTCCCCTGTGATTATGGATCCGCAGCTGCTGATGGCTGCACGATCTGGTGCGTGCAAGGCGCTTGAGAATCTTCTCGTCAACCATGAGGAGGCGGCTGCTGAATCCCATCTCGTCATCCGCATGCCGGAGGAGGGAGCTTCAAATACTAGTAGTACTAGTAGTGATCTAGCTCAACAAGGTCAACCTGCAAATCGTCCAGCAGCAGCGTCGCCTCTCCTGGAAGGGTTGACTCTTGATTCGGACCAGGATTCGGCCCTCCATGTGGTGGCCACCTCCGGCGACGGCGAGCAGTACGTGCAGTGCGCGGAGATGATCCACGGCAGGGCGAGGCACCTGCTAGGCGCGACCAACAACAGAGGCGACACGCCTCTGCACTGCGCCGCCAGAGCCGGGCACCATGCCATGGTCTGCCGTCTCATCTCGTTGGCCGCGCACGAGGGCGGCGCCGCCAACGGACGGATCCTGAGCACCAGGAACAAGCTCGGGGAGACGGCGCTACACGGCGCGATCCGCGGCGGCAACAGGATGGTGGTGGAGAGGCTCGTGTCGGAGGATCCGGAGCTGGCCAGGATTCCGGAGGATCGTGGCATCGGCGCCTCGCCGCTGTACCTCGCCGTTTCGCTGGGGCGCTTGGAGATTGCACGGGACCTGCTTGATAGAAGTCCTACAACATTGTCATACTCTGGGCCTGAAGGCCAAAACGTGCTGCATATCTCGGTATACCGCGGCGAAGGTATGTATGGCCAACTCCTTGTTTATTTTCCATTCATAATATATTCCGGCCATTGAAACTCTGCAATCAATCCTGTTATGTGCCGCACTGAGACCCATTGAGACTACAGGATTTCTCAAGATACCTTTGGTTCTCCTTGGACATCTGTACCAAGTAAAACATCCAAAGTAACCAGCCATAAGAAGAATGTGCAAACGAAACAAAAAAAAACACAAGTAAATTAATACTAGCTAGTATCATAGTCTCTCAAGACAGTGAAAGAAATGCTGCCTAATATCAAAGAGTATACTTTTTTAGAGTATTCAAAGTATGCACAGCATTTATAAAGTACTCCTAAAAGGGTTTTACACATACGAGTAGTCTGGCCATAAGAGATGGATACATAATATTTGTTTATGGCATTACAAAATTTGAATTTGGAATTCAAATATCATTAATTGCTAGCTCTGGCACTAATATCACTTCCTTCTTTTATAAAGTGCTGGTAATTCAAAAACTAGTGGTGATGCCAGTTATGTACTGGCGTTGATTGGGTATTACTATTATGAGCCTTATTTTCCCTTTGGACTTGCTTAACCGACGACACCGAATTGCAGCGCTGTCTATACTGTTAGACAAGTGCAAGGATGTTAAGGTCAACATTGATCAGGGAGGCCGGTATAGGAGTATGCCTGTTCTCTTACACCTTACTAGTCAAGGCGACAAAAATGGGAGCACTCCGCTTCACTTCGCTGCATCGCTGAAAACTAGTACCACAGGTTTGTCAAGATGGTCTGAATATTTCCATCCGAAACCAAGTCCAACCACGCTGCTGCTTGATGCCAATGAATCTGCTATGTACCAACCGGATAACGGAGGATCATATCCTATACATGTTGCTGCCTCCAATGGGACGCTCAAGGCTGTCATAACCTTGCTCGGAAGGTCCCCTGGCTGCATCGCATTGCGGAACATGCAAGGAAAGACTTTCCTCCACGTTGCTGTGGAGAAGAAGAGGCATAGTATTGTTGCATTTGTGTGCAAAAGGCCCGAACTTGCATCTGTGTTAAATGTGCAGGACAACCAGGGGGATACCGCGCTGCACCTTGCTGTCAAAGCTGGACTTGTCTCAATTTTCAACCTCTTGTTTCGGAATAGGGAGGTGAGCTTGAATTTACCAAACAAAGACGGGCTGACACCTCGTGATCTTTCATGGATTATGATTCCTGCAAGATTCTACTATAAAAAGGTAGTAATCGTTTTTTTTTTCTGGCTTTTGTGTCAATTTATCCTAGCTACATATATGAAGTTGTCTGATTCTGTCCCCACTATATACGATACGTTAACCTGCAGAATTCACGAGGTATGATACACCAATCATTAGCACTTGCCAGAGCTCCAGTTGGTCACAGTCGCCAGGACCACTTCTATGAGAAGCATTCAAAGAGGAGGGATGAAGAAATCGATTCAGAGTACTTGACGAACGCAACTTCAGTTCTCGGCATTTCATCTGTTCTGATTGCAACGGTGACATTTGCAGCAGCTTTCACGTTACCTGGGGGATACAGAGCAGACGACCACGCGAACGGCGGGACACCGACGCTTGCTGGGAGCTACTCCTTCAACGCATTCATCACCGCAAACACGCTAGCATTCAGTTGCTCTCTGCTAGCTACCGTCAGCCTGCTCTACTCTGGGATGCCGTCGCGGGAGATCTCCATCCGCTACGTATACCAGTCCCTATCGTTGGTCATGATGCGGAGCTCAGCTACAAGCCTGGTCGCCGCCTTCGCCTTGGGCATGTACGTCGTGCTAGCTCCCGTTGCTCTCACCATGGCAAAGTCTGTCTGCGCCATCACTTTTCTCTCCTTCTTGTCTGCATGTATGGAGGTCCGGAGGCCCCTTATCGTGGCAAACTCGGTGCGTATTAGAGTTGGAATCTGGGCAGCGAGGTATCAAGCAGCGCCAGTCCTAAAATTCATCGGGAAAAGATTCTGGTCCTATGTAATTATCTTTGGCTTGCCGGCGGTGTTGAAGATTCGTGGAACCCAATGACTTTGTGTAATTATCTTATCTGCTAATAAGATTATCTTTCGCCGGGCTCTGCCTCTGTTAATGAGACTAGATGAGATAAAGGCATTTTTGCAAAATAGAAGCATATGCAAGATACAATATGTCCAAAACATTGTATTCACATGTTAAACAAAATATATAATGGGCTGAGGGAAAAAGTTGCAGCAATCATCAACGTAAGCTATCAAAGACTTCTCCTACGACCAATACATTTGCTTTCAAATTTGCCGACAGCAGATAATGCCATATGTGAAGCTGGCATTGGACAGTTAGATAGGAACACCATAGTTCACAATCATCAAGAGGGTGTTAGTATATCTTCTTCTTTACCTGAGAAGCTAGGCCAGATATCTGCAATAGAAAAATAACCTTGCTATAAATTAACATTACAGAACTCCAATCTTCAAAATACTATCTTATCTTAATGTAAAAATTGGTTTATGATAAAATAATGTAATGCTGCAATTATGAGATACGAAGCCGTGAAAAATAATTTCTGCACACTAATTATAATATCGTTGCCGACAATGACTGAATAAAACTTATATACCCTTTCCTATCGAAAAAAAAATAGCCAACAGATATGCATATGGGGAAAAACAAATTGCAGTGACAGGTTCAACATCACCTAATTGTTTCAGTAAACATCATAGTGTTCAGAATTCAGATACCAGAAAATATGCTGACCCCTGATCAAAACCCAGATACATGGGAATCTGATCGAGAATGCTCGTGAGACCTGATAGGATTCAGGCACACATCTAATATATGACAAATTCAAGATGAGGCAATTTCCATTCTCAAATTCCATTTGGCATAGAAAAAGGCAATAACGCAAGATACTATTACACAACTACTGATTTCTTTTCAGTATCACCTATTTGTTTCAGCTCACTTCGAATGGCATTCCCTTCTTCCCTGAAGCAAGTAGACAGTAAGTCCAACATTGTATTAGAGAAGGGAAGACCAAAATAAATGGTAAAAGGCTTTTAAAAATAGGATTGCCTGAGTGTATTCCAACCTTTCTGAAATAGTTTTACAGCAGTTGCAGATCTATCCTGGAATGCATATGCGATAAATTGGACATGAAGAATATCTGAACTTAAAATTGCCCTGATAACAGATGGTTTAAAGAAATATATCAGCAACTTTTGGCTTTCATTCTAAAGAAAATCAACCCTGCATTTTGTTTTTTCTATGAATGAAGGTAGCATGCATGAACTTCATGAAATTCTTTTTTTATGCTAGTTTAGGACGAATTTGCGTTTCACTCTGTTTCAGAACAAAGAATTACATCACAACATGTCCATGACAGTAATAATAAGCACTAAAGCATTATGTCCAATAGGGTGTGAACTGCGAAGCTAGTCAGCGAGTAATAAGGAGGTGACAGTCTGTAAACAGGATGGTGTATACAACTTTCGAGACATGGAGGTAGGCAGGTAGCAAGTAGCAATGTCAAGAATTCATAAAAAAATTATAGCTAGACAGACAGTCCATGCTTACCTCCTTGCTTACAAATATGCGCGCCCTGCAACGAATTTAGTCATACTAAAGTTAGTGATATATAAGAAAAGGTCCAGCATTTTAATTTCTTGAACAATCATAGATCAAACTTCCATTGCATCAACATCCTTCTCACATCAGATGCTAGGCAGCTAGATATACAGTGTACAGGCCAATAATTTGGAACTGAACATCACACTCTTATAGAATTAATGAAATCCAATTATCAAAATAATATGATGATTATAATAAAAACAGGTTGAACTGAATCTGCTCGTGATGTCTAAGTTGGATCTAATTAATTAGCTCAAGGAGATATCAATATATTCCAATCAACTGTAAGTAGCATGATAAGAAATCAATTCCAGTACCATGTTGTTGTTACGGAAAATATCAAGGAAACCAACCTGTGTTATATAAAAGTATTCCGTGTATTTTTAACATATGGTACTGGCAGCTACCTCTTCATGTCATGCAAAGCGTATCATATCTAAAGCATTTCGAAAGCACGTATTCTTTTGTGAATGTAATAAACAAGAAGCAATCCAGCAAGTAAAGTCATCAAGTGTGGATACAACAGAGGATAAATTGTAGTCCAAAGCATAATTAATCCTGCATATATGAGACAACAAATCCCAATTTAAGACACAGAAAATAGGGCGCAATACCTGAGCACTGAAGACAGCCGCTCCTAATCCATCGTCTGGGCTATGGCTACAGCCAGATAAAGCGAGTAAAGAGAAGGTCGCGCAGAGCCACCCCCTTGCTCCATTGTCGGGACGGCGCTGGGCCAAATAGGTGCGGAAGGACGGTCAATGGTGCAGCCAGCGGTTATGGTGTCACGCCAGAGTATTCGTCATCAGGCTCAGGCGCGGGAGGAAGGATCAAATCAAGTGGGCCATCAGCTACCGCTCGGCCCAGACGGGAGAGGCGTGACAACCCGCACGTGAAGGGGAAGGATTGGGTCCAGTAGCTTCGGGCAAGGTCTATAAATAGATTACCCTTGTACTGAAATAGTTGAACTGTATTGAACAAACATATTCTGAATACCAATCCTTTCCCCCTCTCCAAGTCTGTATTCTTCTCTGTTCCTTCTAAATTCCAGATTCTATCTCTAATTCTTCTTGCTGAGATCTCGGGTCGTAACATCTTAGTATCAGAGCTCGTTTCCATCCTGGAGAAGCCAAGGTTCCAAACGCGGCTACAGCTTCAAGTCGATGCCATGGAGAAACAAGCGGGAGGATTCGAGAAGATGCTTGAGGGAATCCAGAACGCCATCGGCGCCGTTGCGGTGAAGCAGGATGAAACACAAGCGGTGGTGCTCCAGATGGATAAAGCGATGGCTAGCTGGCGACCTCAAGTGGATGCAGCAGTCAAGGGACTTCAATCTGAGATGGGTGAGCTGAAGAAACAAGTGGAGATTCTGGAGAAGCTTCGTGGCGAGTTGGGCAATTCGTCGAACATGTTGCAGGTAGGTGCCATCTCCACGCGGAAGCAAGGCGACGACAACGATCAACGTCCACCGCTACTTCCCACGCCGGAGTCGTTCGTTGCTTCGACGTCGGCGGGAGATTCTGGCTCAAATGGCCACCGCGTTGCAATCAACAACCGGGGGAAGGCAACAGGAGTGATTATTCCTCCTGTGCCACCTCCTGTCACGGGTACGACTAATTCTCCATTTCCCCATCACTTTGCTTGTGATTCATTGCATCGGGATGAAGTTGGGGGTTCTGAGGATCGAGGCTATAATCACCGGATTCCGAAATTGGATTTTCCACAGTTTGATGGGGTAGATCCACAAAATTGGCGTATGAGATGTGAGCATTACTTTGGGGTTTATGGTACTCATCCAATACTTTGGGTCAGGGTGGCTACCATTTACTTTACGGGAAGAGCAGCCTCGTGGTTACGCTCGTCGAAGGCTCATTTGCGGTTTTCTGAGTGGTCGGATTTTTGCTTAGCAGTGGATAGGAAATTTGATCGAGATAGGCATCAGATGTTGATTCGTCAGATAGAGCAGATTAAGCAAACCGGGACGGTGGAGGAGTTTTATGAGCGTTTTGATGATGTTATGAATCAATTGCTTGCTTATGATCCTATGTACAATCAGCTCATGATTGTGCATAGGTTCACTGAAGGGTTGCGTTTTGACATTCGTCATGCTGTTATGATGCAACGTCCTCGCGACCTAGAGACTACTCTGGCTATTGCTTGTTTACAGGAGGAATGGATGGAGACTCAGAAGCCCAAGGAATTTCGTAAATTGGGTGATCATGTTCCGCGGATTAAAGGAGCTTATCCTCTTCCTCTTCCTCCTACCAAGGTGTCGGAATCTAGTGCAGGGGCTAGCAAGTCTTCATCTGAACCTGTCAAGACTACTGCTATTGCGGATAGAATGCGAGCTCTCAAGGCTCATCGGCGAGCCCAAGGTCTCTGTTATATTTGTGCAGAGAAATGGTCACCATCTCACAAGTGTTCAGGTTCTGTGCAATTGAATGCTGTTCAGGAGGTATTTGCTCTACTGCAACAAAATGACAGTGATTCTGGTAATTCTTCGGGAGAGGATACTGAGCCTCATTCTCTGTTCTCTTTGTCAGTCCATGCTATTCAGGGTACAACTACTGCTCAAACTATGCGTTTGCAAGGGATTATTCAGGGCTATGATATTCTAATTTTAGTAGACTCTGGTAGTTCCTGCAGTTTCATCAGTTCTTCAGTGATGCCTCAGTTGTCGAATCTGATACAGTTACCTGTTTCTTTTCAAGTTAAGGTGGCTAATGGACAAATGTTGTCTTGTGAAACTGAATTGGCTAATGTTTCTTGGTCAGTTCAGGGACATCATTTTTGTTCTGCTTTGAAGGTGTTACCACTTCAGAGTTATGATATGATTTTAGGAATGGATTGGTTGGAGCGGTATAGCCCTATGGATATTGACTGGCAGCAGAAAACAATTCGGTTTACATTGGATGGTCAGCTGATTACTTTATGTGGGGTGGTTCCATCAGTACCTGCTAATCCTGTCTTATCGGTCCTGGAATTACATCAATTATATCAGTCCGGTTCTATTGAAGGTCTAGTTCAGTTATACACCCTTGATTCTGAGTCTAGTTCTGATTTGCCAATTCCGGACAATATTCAGCAATTGTTACAGAGCTTTGCGGATGTGTTTCAAGAACCACAAGGACTTCCTCCTGTTCGCGAATGTGATCACACCATTCCGTTAATTCCTGGTGCGCAACCAGTTAATGTTCGCCCTTATCGTTATACACCATTGCAGAAGGATGAAATTGAATGCCAAGTTGTTGATATGTTGGACAGAGGTATCATCAAACCCTGCTCAAGTCCTTTCTCTTCTCTGGTTCTTTTGGTCAAAAAGAAAGATGGTTCTTGGCGGTTTTGCGTTGATTATCGCCATCTTAATGCGATTACTGTCAAAAACAAATATCCTTTGCCTATCATTGATGAACTCTTGGATGAATTAGCGGGTGCTTGTCGGTTCTCTAAATTGGATTTGCGTTCCGGCTATCATCAAATACGCATGCATCCAGATGATGAGCATAAGACTGCCTTTAAGACGTATCATGGGGATTTTGAGTTTCGTGTGCTTCCTTTTGGGTTGACTAGCGCTCCAGCAACATTTCAGAGTATTATGAACTCAGTTCTAGCTCCATATCTGCGTCGCAGTGTATTGGTGTTTGTCGATGACATCCTTGTTTACAGTCACTCTTTGGCAGAGCATGAAGTGCATTTGCGCCAAGTTTTGCAGATCTTATCTGATAATCACTTGAAGGTTAAGCAATCAAAATGTTCTTTTCCTCAGCCCCAGTTGGCTTATTTGGGTCATGTGATTAGTGCCAATGGAGTAGCTACTGATGAGGACAAAATCGTGGCTGTTCGGAATTGGATTACTCCTACATCAGTCAAAGAATTGCGCAGTTTTCTTGGGTTATCAGGCTATTACCGCAAGTTTGTGCGCAATTATGGGATTATTTGTAAACCATTGACTAACTTGTTGAGGAAGGGACAGTTGTTTGTCTGGACATCTGTTCATGAGGAGGCTTTTGTTACTCTGAAATCTGCCTTGATCTCAGCTCCTGTTTTGGCCATGCCAGACTTTCAGAAATAATTTGTTGTCGAAACAGATGCATCTGACAAAGGAATTGGTGCTATCTTAATGCAGTCAGATCACCCTATTGCTTTCCTCAGTAAAGCATTAGGACCTCGCACTCAAGGTCTCTCTACTTATGAGAAGGAAAGTTTGGCAATTATTTTGGCTATGGAGCATTGGAGATCATATCTGCAACATGCTGAATTTGTAATACGGACTGACCACCATAGTTTGGCCTTCTTAGATAATCAACGATTGTCCACCACTTGGCAACAGAAAGCTCTTACCAAGTTATTGGGGTTGCGTTATCGCATTGTCTATAAAAAGGGTTTGGAAAATGGAGCTGCTGATGCGTTATCTCGACAATCTCCTGTTGATATGGTGGAGATTTCGGCGCTATCTGTCAGTATTCCTGCTTGGCTGCAGGAGGTACCTCTGGGATATGCTACTGATTCTGACACTCAGTGGATTCTTACTTCTCTGCTTAATAATGGAAAGCATCATGCACATTATGAATTGCAATCTAATATCTTGTATTTTAAGAAAAGGATTTGGATTGGTAACAATAAATCTTTGCAACAGCAAATTCTGGCCAATTTGCATACTGCAACTGTGGGTGGACACTCTGGTAATTTGGCTACTTATCATCGAGTGAAGCAACTTTTTGCTTGGCCAGGTTTAAGGCAATCTGTGCACAATTTTGTTCAGGCTTGTGATGTTTGTCAACGAGCTAAGTCTGAGCATATCAAGTTACCTGGGCTATTACAACCTTTGGAAGTACCTGATCATGCTTAGCAAGTCATTTCAATGGATTTCATTGAGGGTTTACCATTATCAGACCATTGCAATGTTATTTTGGTCATTGTGGATAAATTTTCGAAGTTTGCTCATTTTTTGGCTCTTCGACATCCTTACACAGCTTTGTCTGTAGCTCAACTTTTTATGGATCACATACATTGCATTCATGGTCTGCCTTGTGCCATCATTTCTGACCGAGATCGGGTATTTACTAGCACTTTGTGGAAGGAGTTATTTTTAAGAGCTGGCACTCAATTGCGAATGAGTTCTTCTTATCATCCGCAAACTGATGGACAAACAGAGAGGGTTAATCAATGTTTAGAGACATTTCTTCGTTGTTTTGTGCACTCTTGCCCCAAACAGTGGAAGCATTGGTTGGGAATGGCTCAGTTTTGGTACAACTCTTCTTACCATTCAACCATTGCTATGACTCCTTTTGAAGCATTGTTTGGTCATAAACCATCCTATTTCGGATTAACTATTACTGCCGTTGATGCTCCTGTGAGTTTGGCTTCCTAGTTGACTGATCGCAATAACATGAGTGCTTTGATTCATCATCATTTGCTGCGGGCTCAGCAACGCATGAAACATCAAGCAGATTTACATCGATCGGAGTGTGTCTTTACAGTGGGTGATTGGGTGTTCCTTAAGCTCCAACCATATGTGCAGCAATCTGTCATGACCAGGGCCAATCGGAAATTATCTTTCAAATTTTATGGACCTTTTCAAGTCTTGCAACGAGTGGGCAGTGTGGCTTATAAGTTGGATTTGCCGTCTACAAGTATGATCCATCCTGTTGTGCATGTCTCTCAATTGAAGAAGGCATTGGCACCAGCTGAACAAGTTCAGGCTTCTCTTCCCACACTAGATTCTGAAATTGGTCCGTTAGCTGTTCATCATCGTATTTTGGAACGCCACCTTCGTCAACGGGGTGCCAAACTAATTGAACAAGTTCAGGTTGAATGGAAGGGTACTTCTTCTCCAGCTATTACATGGGAGAATCTTGAGGAACTTCGTCACAAGTTTCCAGCTGCACCAGCTTGGGGTCAAGCTGGTTCTCAAGGAGGGAGGAATGTCACACCAGAGTATTCGTCATCAGGCTCAGGCGCGGGAGGAAGGATCAAATCAAGTGGGCCGTCGGCTACCGCTCGGCCCAGACGGGAGAGGCGTGACAACCCGCACGTGAAGGGGAAGGATTGGGTCCAGTAGCTTCGGGCAAGGTCTATAAATAGATTACCCTTGTACTGAAAGAGGTGAACTGTATTGAACAAACATATTCTAAATACCAATCCTTTCCCCCTCTCCAAGTCTGTATCTGCTCTGTTCTTCTTTGTTCCTTCTAAATTCCAGATTCTATCTCTAATTCTTCTTGCTGAGATCTCGAGTCGTAACATATGGCTCGCTGGGACGAGGCCGGGCCAACAGGACGCTGCTGCTCCCTGGTCTGACGGGCGCTAGGAGCTAGGCTGTTCTCAAATCGACGGAGGAGGAGGATGAGGAGCTACGGGCTGGTTGTAGCAACAGCCTTTCCTACATTACTCAGCTCACATTTGGAGCGATTTGGTTTCATGCCGTAACATTTGGCCACTTATAGTTATATCCTACCTTAATTCTTTTCTTCTGTCGTCTTCTGATCAAGGGAGGAGGAGGCGCACCTGCTGCGGTCGTCAATCTAGCGGAGGAGGGCGGAGGTGAGGAGGGGAAGGAGGAAGAGGGTGGGAGGAGGCGGTGGTGGTGGCGGCAGCGAGGGGCGGTGGTGGCGCACGGCAGCGGGGAGGCCGGAAGGTGGCGGCGGGGGGAGAGTGGAAGTCGGCGTCGCGGGGAGGGTAGACGGCGGCGGAGACAGTCTATCCACGGGTGGGGCGGATCAAGATAGTCTGCCTTCACGGGGTGACTGCACCAAGCCATCCAAGTATCCGACGGCTATCGCATGATGCGTATCCTTAAACAGTTAAGGGTGTGTTTGATTGCTCGTATCCCTCTAGCCTGGCTCATGGGTGTGTTTGATTGCTCGTATCCCTCTAGTCTGGCTCATCTCCCTCATCCAGGCTAAGTTTAGCTTGGTTTAGGGGATACACATGCAGGCGTTTGGTTGCTTGGATGAGATGAACCTGGATATGATGAGATGTTGTTTGGTTGGTTGCAGCATGGGGCGGATGGAATGGTAGCATGCAGAAGATGTTGTTTGGTTGGATAGATACATCTTGTGTGTAAATACCTATTCTTGTGGGTGGTGAGGTTACCCATAAAGTTTGTGAAACGAGATTTTTTTTCCAAGTCCCTAATCTATTTATGTGTGATAAATTTAATCCGTCGTAGAGGTTATAGATTAAATTATGTTACTCTGGGTGTGTGCCCACCTACTAATATTCCTAAGCTCATTCCTAACCAATAGAACCAGCCCACCAAACCCCACGCAGCGTCCTCGTTGTCGCTATAGCCGCCGCCGTCCACAGCGGGGACTCGTCCGTCAGGATGCGCCACCACCAGCAGCCGGGAACGGACGACGACCCCGTGAAGGCAGACGATCTTCCTGCTAGGATTGGATGCAGCAATTGGAAACAATTCAGCATGCTTGCTGTCTGTGAAACTTGAAAAATATGGATGCACCAAGATCGAGTAGTAGCAGGGGGTGGCTAGCTCGCGCGCACGCGCGAGGACGTTAAGTCGCGTGCACGTGGACCTTCGCTTTAAGTAGCGCTTAGCGTTTTTCTCGAAAGAAAACAACAACGTCTGACTAGTGATTAACGAAAATGCTACAGTAATTTATCAATAAAAAAATAAAAACAATTGATTTTGAAATTTTGAGTTAAAATTTTCAAATATTGACTTGAAAATTTTGAAAATACGATTTGAAAGTTTTCAAAATATCAACTTGAAAGTTTTCAAATATGAGTTAAAAAGTTTTTGAATTTTGAGTTGAAAGTTTTCGATTTTAATATGAAAAGTTTTCAATTTTGAGTTGAAAATTTTTAAAATTTGAGTTGAAAGTTTTTAGATCTTGAGTTGAAAGTTTCAAACCTGAGTCGAAAGTTTTCAAATCTGAGTCAAAAGTTTTCAAATCTTGAGTCGTAAGTTTTTAAATCGGAGTTGAAAGTTTTCAAATATGAGTTGAAAGTTTTCAAAATTTGACTTCAAAGTTTAAATCTTAAGTCAAAAGTTTTCAAATGTAACTTAAAAATTTTCTATCTATTAGTAAAAAAATCTCAAAAAAGAAAAAAATCTTTCATTAATTATTATCATTATCCTTAAACAGTTACTTACATTAAACGTGCGCTATGAAAAAAAATCTCGATTAGCGCTGGCAGCACCGCGCGTACGGGCCGTGTGGGCCGGAAGTGCTCGCCCGCGGCGCGTACGCGCGAATTAGGAATCCTGGTAGTAGCATAACACGATTATAGTTACACCAAGCATCAAGCAAAGCTTTGCGTTCTGATTCGACCATGTAGCAAGTAACGCATTACGTATGCATTCAGGGCCTGTTTAGACTCTCCAAAATGACAAAAGTTTTCCTTTTTAGACCACTGTTTGGGTAAAATGGATCTAAACACCTAGTTGTAAAATTGCAATGCCAAATCTTTTACAAAAAAATTTGCCGCAGCAAATTGATCTAAACAGGCCCTCAATCAGGTTTTCTGCGGAATCACAACGAGAAGACCTTGTCATGCTTGCCTCCGACTGCTACTACGCTGCCGCCGCTATAAACTTGTCCTCAATGGAAGATCCGCTGGCGGAGATTGAACACGACGTCCAGCCCGGCTCTCGGAGCGGCCAATGGTGGCGTGTGCCACTGGAAAAGCTTCAGGTCACTCGACTGACGGCAGCACATACCATCGAACAAGCTCCGGGCCAATCCCCAGCGCAGGCGGCGATGGGCGTGGGCATGTCATTGCTGCCTCTTGTTAGGTTTTCGTGGGCTTCGATGGCTGGTTATGTCAGCTATGGCGTGCCCCATGTGAGCCGTCAGATTGTTTGGATGGTGGATGGGTGCTGAAGGCACGCTCATGCAGTCACCACGTAAAGGCAGACGATCCAGATCTGGGTGGGTCGTGGTGGGGAGGAGATGGGAGACGGTCAGGGTAGGGTTTGGGGGTAGATGTTGAACGCGCAGAGATGTAGCCTAGAGGGGGGGTGAATAGGCTTTCCTGAAAATCACAAACAAATCGTAGTGGTAAAATTCAACAGGCCTAGAACCTCCTGGTGTAGAACACCAGAACTTCCGGTCTGCTCAGACAGTCTGGAACTTCCGGTGTTCTTAGCACCGGAACTTCCGGGCAACAGAAAAACCTGAAGATCTAACAGGGAGTTGAGCTAATTTGCACGAGATAACTAGTTCCGGGCAACAGAAAAACCTGAAGATCTAACAGGGAGTTGAGCTAATTTGCACGAAATAAACTACAGGATGACAGAACAAAAGCACAATCACAGTAACATGCACAATCATCACAGAGGGAACAAAGATGATTTTTCCCCGAAGTTCGGATCTTGGGATCCTACTCTCCATTGAGGTGCTCCAAAGAGCCGGGTCTCGATTAACCCCTTGCCTCACTTGTACAAAGAACGGGAAGGAAGTCCAAGGCCTTCAACTCAACACTCCTAGGTCATTTTCTAGAATTTGAATAACCACCAAGATCCAACTCACAAATCCTTCTAGAAAAGACCACAACCGCAAGTTGCTCTACCTAGGAGAACCTCTGAAAACTCAGCACAAGAATCCTTAATCACTTACCTCGTTTCCTTGCAGGGGTGAGGAAAACCTTCACAAACTTTCCCGGGACATCCACAAGATTTCGGAAGCTCGCGGGCGACACCTATCCGTATAGGAGAAGATCTCCAAGAGTAATAAGCCCCAAGTGACAGCCCACAAGATATCCAAAGTGCTCAACCACACCTAGTTTTCAAAGCTTCTCCAAATCACTCCTACACTCTCATCTACTCTCACAATCTCACAAGAAAGGCTCTAGATTTGAGTGGAGGAAGCAAAGGGACCTTGGGAGAGGCTAGAACAACCTAGGGGATGAAAGAACTGAAGTGGAATGGCCAAAAAATGAGCTGGGTGCGATCTAGATATATATAACGGCTATGTGACGTCATCTAGCCGTTACTCACATTTTTGAACTGGAGGAAGTCCGGAAGTTCCTGACCCTCGGAACTTCCGGCCAACACTTAGGCAAATTTCATCCAATGCAGGGTCCGGAAGTTCCAGGTCCAGGGACCGGAACTTCCGGCCAGCCTTCTCTGTCCGGTCTGGACCCATTTGCAAAAATGGCTCCCAAAAATATTCTATCACTATGAACCCACTAAGAGCACTTTTTATATCTCAGAACCACACTTGAAACCCCTCTTAATAGTACGGTTTTTCCTAAGACTCAATTTCAAAAATGAAAACTATCCTATTAACTTTCGAGCTTCAAATCCGCATGAATGAATGTTGTAGGGGTCTCCAAGCATCTCTTGATCACCTAAGATCACCTTGGGACTAATTACCTGTATATCTCAATAAACACATTAGTCCCTTAACCTTATTCATCATTAATCACCAAAACCCACTAGGGGGATAAATGCAACTTCAAGAGAAACCTAGGGCATGAAATAACTGAAGTAAAAATGGCCAAAAGGTGAGCTGGGTGAGATCTGGATATATATATAACGGCTAGGTGACGTCATCTAGCTGTTACTCACATTTTTGAACTGGAAGGAGTCTGGAACTTCCTGACACCCGAAACTTCCGGACAATACTTAGGAAAATTTCACTCTCGAAGGTCCGGAACTTCCGGGTCCAGAGACCGGAACTTTCGGCCAGCCTTCTCTGTCCGGGGCAGGGCTATTTCCAAAAATAGCTCCCAAAAATATTTCGATACTAAGATCTCACTAAGAGTACTTTTTATATCCCAGAACCATACTTGGAACCCCTCCTAATAGTATGGTTTTCCTAAGACTCGATTGCAAAATTAAACTATCCTATGCACCCTTCGAGTTCTAATACCGCTTGAATGATTGTTGTGGGGGGGGAGGTCTCCAAGCATCTCTTGCTCACCTAAGTTTACCTTGGGACTAATCACCTGAGTATCTCAATAAAACTCATTAGTCCCTTAACCTTATTCGTCATTAATCACCAAAACCCACTAGGGGGATAGATGCAACTTCAGATGTGGTTATTTTCAAGAATGCCCCTGTAATTTTAATGATTACAGCTCTATCCTTATAAGCAAGATTTTTTTCTTCTTCCTGTTGTATTTCTCTAAAAGACGAAGAGTTTTTTTGGAAGAAACATAACAGCGTGGTAGGCTGTCCTAGGACGTATATGATATTTCATGCAAACACGAGATTTTTTTTTTTACAAAATAGCCTATTGATGAAACCAGTACCAACCAACAGCGGGGACCGGCACGCATGCACATCCCACTTGGCCTAAAAATCGGATTGACCGGCGCACCTCATACGAGTGGTAACCCGCGCGAGCACGAGGAGCCGAGGGCACAAAGGGGCAATGTGTAAATCACCAAGGTAGCCTTAAAAAAAATCAGAGAAAAACAGGATGGTAACACTAATTATCAACTGATTATTCCTCATTTCTTACCATTCTTCTCAATTTTGTAAAATTTATTCTGCATTTTTTATTTCCGATTCCTTCATAATTTCTTTAGCATTTCTCTCAATTCTGTAACATTTATTCTTCATTTATTCTATTTATAGGAAAAGCAACGAGTTTTCCATAAACCAAATGAATTTCAACTAAAAATGAACAATTTTCGTCTACTTCACTTGGTTAAAACATTCAAAAGAATCGTTTAAATTTTGGTTGCCAAGTTTTGTTTGAATTTTATTGAGATTTTGACAGATTTTGTCTTTTCACTCATCATGCTCACATTTTATCTCAAAACTAAATGGTATGTACCCTCTGCTATTAGAAGGTGAATGTTATTGACGAATAGTAAAATGTTTATTAGAGGGTGAATGTTATTGATGAATAGTAAAATGTAAGGTATACTACAATAGAATTACTGTAGAAACGTATGAAAATATTGTTCGATGGTTCCGTATTGGTCTAATGTAGATTACTGTTGATTAATGTTAGAAAATAGCTAATGTTATATAGTATTGTGGCTGTCGGGATGGTATCCTTTGTCATTCCAACTGCAGCATAAATGCACGGGATTAATCAACAGTAATTTACAGTAGACCAATATAGAACCATCGAACACTATTTAATTCTTTTTTTAAGGTAATTCTACTATAGCTATAGTAAAATACTGTAGCATGTATTATATTTTCACTGTTCGTATCTACTATTCACCCCTTAATGACAGATAATGCGAATGGTGGCTTTCTACCGCACGCTACGCTGCAGCCGGACCCCGCAACTGATTATTTTTCTTTTTTCTTTTTTCGGTTGATGAATAAGCCGGCGCCGGTGGCGCCGCCGCCGCCGATCAGCTCTGCCCGCCGTGCCCACCTTCTGCGTTCTTCACATAGCTCCTCGCCTCCACCATCCACGCCAGGCTATGCGAAGGAGGCGGGCTCTAGTCTCTGGTTGGCGATTTCGCATAGCACCGGTGCGCCGCGCCCACCAGGTGTTTGCTGTAATGCCCCGACCACACCTCACCGACTGGATCGATCATCCCGCCGCCGTGGCTCCTCCGCTGCTGCACCGCGGGAGGGTTCGGTGGCGAAGGCGTACCGACGCGGAGCAAGCAGGAACGGATAGCTGCGCTGTAGGCAGCTATTATCTTGACCCTTCCGTCTTCGATCATAGCCAGGTCGTGCTGCTTTTGATGGCCTTGTGATGATCTCGTTTCATTCTGTGGCAGCTTTTCTCTGGGACATGCTCTGAAATTCAGTGGAGTGGGACTCGATTTTGGGAGACATGGAAAGAAACTTCTTAGCATTTGTTGATGAGATAAAGGTATGATGTTTCTATCTTTTTTTCCCCTTTTGATATTAACTATGACGTATGTTGGATATTTCAGACTTCAAGTAATGGCATAATAAAACCTTTTTTTTTTCTGTATTTTGCATTACTACATAGATTTAAAATATGATCTTTTCTAGTCTACATTTCTACATAGCTTGACATGCTGCTCATTGATGAATACTTCCTTCGTTTCACAATGTAAGTCATTCTAGCATTTCCCACATTCATATTGATGCTAATGAATCTAACATTATATATCTATTTAGATTCATTAGCATCAATATGAATGTGGGAAATGCTAGAATGACTTACATTGTGAAACAGAGGTAGTAGAACTTTGCAGTTCATGTAATTACAATGTAATATAATTTACTTGTTCATAATGCAGAAACAATGGTGTCAATAGATGATATTACATGCCATAGATTTCCACATCTAGAACACAAACGAAAACTCCTAATTTTCTTTCTGTGGTGATATGATATTGAATTGCTTCAAAAATTACTATATACTTTTCTTTTCCTAAGTCACATTCTTACATAATCAATAAGGTCCAAGAATCAGTTATACTCCAGCAGCTCGTCCTAATCTTCTTCTTAGAATCTTCACTCCCATGTATCTGACCATGAAAGACAATATGACAAAAGAAAGATCAACCCTTGAAATTTAATTTTGTAGATTAAAGGAGAGTACTATAGTTTGTTTTTGCCTTTACCTGCCCATCATCATGACTGTGGCTTGCGGGTTGGTTCCTGGTGACCTAAATAAGGTCGACCCATCGATCACACGAAGGCCTGAGACACCAATCACACGGTATTGTTGGTCAACCACCTTGCCCACATGGCATCCGCCATGGTAATGCCAGATGGTGACCACTGTGTCTCTGCAAAACTGCTCCATGGATGTGCTGTCATTTGTGTGCTTGGGTATCAAGTTTATGTTTGCTGTTACACTCATGTTGAGCACCACTTCCATTGGATATCCACCACCATTGAGGGTAAAATTAGTGAAATGGTTTGTCTTCAGTATTCTCTCTATGGTCTTGATCCCATAGACACACCGACTGAGATCCTTTGGGTGCTGGAAGTAGTTGAAGGTAACCGTGGGGTTGCTATTGATGTCAGTATCCACAAGAACTAGATTACCAGTAGACAATGGACCATCAATCTTCGAAAGTATAAAACCCCCACTGAATACTTCTTTGGGTAGGTTATATTTTTTATGTACATACTTCTTGACTGCATCTAGATTTCTTTGCTTTGGGGGAATCGTTGACAGCTGCCCAATCTACATTGCAGTGACAAAATTCATGAGGGATGATAAGCTTGAAAGTTAGCATGCTTCTCAAAAGTAAATAAGCTTAACGTTTTTTTCTTTTTGGCTTTTACAAATTCAAAGAAGTTTCTTATTATTACAATTTTTTGTCCATAAATAATCCCAGAAGAAACTCTGCTTTAAAACCTTAATTTACTCTAGTTTAAAACCATTGAGATGAATTTCTGTGTACATGTTGGTAGATTCTGGGTTCCTCTGATATCTTAATCCTGGGCTCCTGAAGATAAGCTTAATGAAGTTGCTTACCAAAAACTAAAGATGGCTTTTGACAAGCTAATTTAGCGTGTGTTGTTTTCTGAGAGTGCTGATGTGGATGTTGTTTATGTACACAACTACACAAGCTTTTGTATGATATACACCAACACCCCATGATGCTTATAAAGAATTCAAAATTTTATGCAAGTAAAGTCTTTGAAATTGATGCCAAACCTCAGCGGACATGATTCCATGGTGGCACTGGATACTATCTGGTGACTGGCTGAAACCACTGCTGGCTTCTATGAACGCCCCGCCGTCGGTTATTCCAACAGTCTGAATCAGTGATTGCTTAGGGGCATCCTTGGTAGGTATAAAGATGGAATTCATTGGATTATCTGACATCCCTTTACCCACATGTTCGTTGCGAAGGACTACAGAAATGTTATGCTTTTTAAGTTCCTTTCTGGGTCCAATTCCACTAAGCAACAATAGCTGGGGACTGCCAATTGCACCAGCAGAGATGATAATCTCGCTGTCTCTGTTTCGGGTAAGGAAGGCATGCTGCTGCCCCCCATTCTCATCCTTGAATTCAACACCAATGGTCCTTGGCTTCCTGTGCTCTGTGCAAGAGATGATGTTACTATCGCGTCTGCTGTTAAAGTGGATAGGGATTATAAGAGCTAGGCCTGCCTTGGATTAATTCTTACCTTGTTCTGTGTTGAAAATTATTCTGGTCACACTAGCATGAAGGAGAACCCTGAGGTTGTTATGATTTCCAGCAGCAAGGAGGTCAGCAGCAGTGTGCCTGTACCCAGCCTCATCAAAGATTGTTCCCCCGACCTTTGTTCCAAAGAGATGATCATAGCTGTATCCATTGTAAGGTGAGACCCCTGCTTCAAGCAGCCCGTCCCGCAGTGCAGCTTGCCACGGTGTAATATTGGGCCAATAAACAATCCTCTCTTCGATCCAAGGGTATGATTGGTTTACCAACTCTGCATCCCAGCCTGCGTCTTGAACAAAGCTACAGGACAAGCACATTCATCAGTGAACCCTTTTTTCTATTCTTAATATATTATTAGCATTACTGTATCACTAAAAGTAATATTGACATGAGAATATCAGTCCATTAGAGCCGCTCACGCTATGCGCAAAGCACATCTTATGCTAACCTTATAGTTGGGATTTCAGCAATTACCTTAACAATTACATTCTTACTTTATTAAAATTTCAAAAAAGGGGCATATATTAATGAATTGTGCCAAGCCATTCCTAACCAATTGTTTGTAATCTCAATTCAGGTCTTATGCCCTACAGTTATTGAACTGATTTGAACATAGGAAGGATCTTAATTTGATATAATCATATTATTCATGGGCTTCTAGCAGATTATTTTGGATCATGGTCACAATTATACCAATCCTAGTAATTGAAAATAAGTATTCACTTCCCTAGAAAAACAATAGTTACTTGCAGCTGACCTTTAAGTTGCAACTTGCAAGGCTTCACCTTTTATACATGGGATCGGCTATTATTTGTACATCTGGGGCAAAACTAAAACCTTCTGAAGTACAATTCGAAAATATCCTTGTTGAAAAGCATGCAAATTTGGAACAATGTATTGTTTGTAGAATCTGATAGGATATTCAATTCTATAACTCAATCCAACATTGCGATCCTTATACTGGAGTATCTCCAATTTGATTCAAGATCTTGTCCTGAGTTCACAACTCAACCAAAAGGCATAAGGTCTATAATAATTCCCCCAGTGAGGTACAGTTATGGGATCTGTTGTGGTACATGTTGGAATTTGTTATGGGTAGGTTCCCTGATTTGCCTTTTGGTCTGCCCATTATGACTGTCTTCAAGGTAGTATTTTTGTACTTTGATGGGTATAAATGGAAACTGAGATAGCTTGGTTGGACTAGTAAGTTCATGAACATGGAGAAGTAGCCAATACACTGCCTAATAGTTAGAGTGACTCCGGTACAACTTAGGCTTCTTTGATTGGCTATCTGTAGACCTTCAGAGTGGAAGCTTATGTTAATTGCTTAAGACACAAGTATAAAATGCTGGTTAGAGAACGCGACATGCAAAGACACCATAAATTGGCTAAGCTTCTTATAAATATTTCAGAATTATCCCTGTTTTTTGCCTTAAGTTGTCAGCTGATTTTTCATCTGAGGTTATTATGCACGCTATGGAAGCTACTTCTTCGACAATGGTTAAGTTCATAGAGATAAGTGAAAAATAAATTTGAACAGATAGACAGGCCATGTGTAGAATGCTATATACATGATAAATTCTTTACCTTGGGTCAGCTCGGCTGTAGAAACCAGCATTGACACTAGTTCCACCACCTAGAACCTTTGCCCGGGCATTGATGACACCATCAGTGGAGATAAATCCCTGAGATGGTGAATTTGGCGAGTCATCTGCCAAGCAAATGTGGAAGTTCTCAAGATGTGAGATGTTCCGGTTGCCGTAAGGAGACCCTCCTCTTTCCAGCAAGAGCACCTTGTACTTCTGGGACAACGTTGCTGCCAATGGGCATCCAGCTGTGCCACCTCCAACAATGATGTAGTCATATGCCTCATGCTGTATTCTGGAGAAACTGCTTGCCTTCAGTAGGGGAGGGAGATCCAATGTGGTAAAATGATTTCTTCCTGCAAATACAAGTATTCATGTTTTATCTGAAGCTACCCAGTTTCAGGTACGGTTTTTATCACTTCCTTTTATATCTTTATACATAAGAAAATCTCAATCGGTTTAAGCTAAATGCTGCATTGCCATTCATCAGGTTTCTTCTGAATATTCACTACAGGCCGAGATTATAAGGTATGTCTTTTTCGCCCTCTCCTCTTCCTGCAAATTTCTTATTGCATCGCTCTATACCTAAGATTTCTGGCCAACGAAAAATAGTGAAATCAGAGAGTAATATAAACAGGAGTTGGTTGCAAATGGCATGGTTATGATTCTGAGTGTCAGCCAAAATTCTGAACTCCATTTTTGCTATAAAAATATGAAAATGTCATGATGAAAGCTATGGTTGATAGAAGCAGCTTATTGAAATTTGAGTGATCAAATTCCAGCATCTCTGAGAAACCAGCCTTTGACCATCATAAAATCCTACTGAATTCGTTTTAGTGGAAAGGAAGTCGAAGGAAAATGATTCATGCTGACGCTTAAGGAACATATGAACTGAAATAGATTGAATGTACCTTGAGATGATCTGATGAAGCAGAGGAAGGCCAAGATCTTGAAGAAGACCCCTCTATTGATCAAACCCATTGCATACAAGGGACACTCGGATGATACACGAAAGCTTGGATAATCCTTTCCTTTTCTCCCCCTAGTTGTTTTTCCCTTCCATTCAGACAGCTCAGATTCTTCCTACTTGCCTTCTGTCCTCAGTTCTCTGATTTCTGTTCTGCCTCACAGTCTTGCCCAAATGCATTCCAATCGTTTATGTAGACAGATGCAGCACTGTGAGATTGGGAGTGCCACTGTGTGCATGCATTCAAGAGAGCTCACCCATACCATTAAGTGCTATTCAATGCAGAGGCAGCAAACTTCGAGTACTACTTAGATTTATGGACTCATCAGCCAACTAACTACAGCTAAACCACTGTGAATATGCCCATCACCCCTTGATTACATGTAACAATAGTAAGAAGGACATGCTATGCCTATCTGTCATTTCTTACTCTCATTTGAACTCTAATTAATGTTTCTATTTTTGTGCCCATATGGGTTACTTCCCTCTGGTTCTATAATAATTGACGTTTTCGACAAGGTTGAGGTTAAACTTTTATAACTTTGACCATCAATAACTTTAAAAATATTTAGTTTAAAGAAACTAGAAAAACATATATAGATTTGTCTTTGAAAACACTATAATAAAAGTAAACATGCATTTATTTATTGTATATATTATAATAGAAAAATAAGGTCAAAGGTATATCTTGTAGAGCATGTCATTGTCCAAAGCGTCAATTAAAATGAAACCGGAGGGAGTAGCAGTTTAAAGCCAAGGTATTTACTTCCCTTCTGTATTTGCATCATATTCAAATTGACTGCATAACCAATTCAGTACGAAAGGTCCAAAGCCTTAATGTCTGCACTTCTATTCGTTATGTTCAGAATGCTTGAAAACTTGTTAAAGAGGATGGGTCCTCAAAAGCATGAAAGTGGACTGCATTAGTGCCGGAGGCAACATTTTTGTTATTTATATTATAGATTTATAGTGCAATGGTAGTCAGAATCCCAATAGAATATACACTGAAGATGTGCCTTAGAAAGCTTATACTCTACTACTCATAAACGGTTTCCTAGGGACCTAACAAATTTATATGTACATTTTATAATGAAACATCATGGGAAAACAGGTTATATGATAAGCATTTCAGATCCAGCTCATGACTCAAGTGAAAATAGTTTAAAATACAGTGAAAGTAGTCTTGGTTGATTGACTGTGACAGGTGCAAAAAAATGAAAAAGACATGTTCTATTAAGACGAACCGAAATTGTTTTATTAGGTCCTAACTTGTGCTTAATGGACTCATGAGACTAAAGTTTGAGCATGCATAGAATTTTGTTAAAACTTTTCGCTCAGTTATTGAGCTCCACGCCTCCACATTACTATCACTATCTAATATTAGGGCTTCTGGAGACAATTATTGCTGTCATCAGCTGTTTTCATCATTAGACCAAATTAGATTTTGGCGGAACAGGGGTTTTCAGCATTGTTGCTCAGCAGTTTATACTGAGATATTGCTCTACCTTCGCTATCCTCAAATTGATGTTGCTTTCAACAAATAAAATCAGAGAGATTGTTACAAAGGAAGACAATGTTCAGGCTGATAAAATGACTGTCTGGGCAGGAGAGAGACTCGGGAGAAAGGTACAGATCTTAACCTCCCTTTTCCATGCTAGTAAAGATAAACATCGGTTAAGTCATGTGTTACAAGAAAAGGTGTTCGAAACTAATCTGGGATCTAGTAAAGCTAGGTTCTCTAGTCCATAGTACAGAAAATGGTACTGTACTACCATTGCATTGTCAATATTTCCGGAAGCATATGTGTTGTCATTATCATACTATAATGGTAATATTGCATAGTCAGTCAGTTGGTTATAAGTTTGTAGTTCGTAGATCACAACACGTTGTAACTTTGAAGTTTGCAGATCACAAAACGCTATAATTTTTAAGTGCGCAGATGACAACACTGTCAACACCCTAGATGAAGGCATTGTTGGCCCTGTTCTTTGTTCTTTAGTTCTGAGTGGATGATGGATTATCTGATTTTGTGATAATATTTTGGGGGTACAAACGAATAAATTATCTATTACAAAGTTGTAAAAGTTGTTTTAAAAATTATTGGAAGAAACTTATTTCTAGAAAACTTTTATAAAAATCGCACCGTTTAGAAGCTTAGGACCGTATTTGTCAGAGGTAAAGATGATAGATAATTTGTCAGAGGTAAAGATGATAGATATGGATGGACCGTATTTGTTGAACTTATTGATATGAACTTGAAAGTACCGTGTATTAAAAAAATGTCATTAGACATCCAAATAACCTTTGAAACGGTGTTCATAAAGAGAGGAGCTTGCATTTATGGCCATGACATCAACTACCAAAATTGTTTGGTGCCAGCAAGAAGAGAACTAAACTATAATAGTAACAATCTGGAGTATAACAGCTATCTATAATACATAACATCCTCTGTTTTGTTCTTTCGTCCTTTGCAACCACGATGGTGTTCATGTGTTTTTCTGAAAAGTGTGAGCAGACTAAGAATGACCCCAGCAGTTTAGTGAGGTTTGTGGTCTTTCAAGGGAATTGGTGAGAATTATTTAATAATGTTGGATTTTCTTTTCATGTAACAGACAGTTACTGTACCTGTTAAGATTCTGAGTGTAGTGCATACAATTCTCAGTTTATGTGAGGGTAGATCTCAACCTCTTCTATGCAATTAAATAGCTTGAAATTTGTAGGGGACCATGAGAACCTACCAGATCATTCATACAACTGGAACCCGAAAACTTTGGTTTTTGTCAGCAACTTGCCCCCAAACGTACACAGGGCACAAGCAGAAGCCTTCAGAAGACGATGGATACAAAGGACCAGCTGTGGTGCGAACATGCTAGGATGGCCCGATCTTCACGATAGTAGGTTGACGATTGACAGGTAATTGGCCGTGAACAGCAGGGGTAACTAGCTTTATACCTGTTAAGGTTGGTTGCGACCAAGTGATGGGGAGGGACGATCCGAAGCCTCCTGAACTCCGACCTAATCTCCAAACGACCACAGAACCACAAACCGAAACTAATCCACACAAGAGACCCGGAAGCCAAAAGCACAAATTAGGGGATCCAGGAGGGACCTCTTGCAAGCCCAGGATGAACTCACAAGAATATAGGAGTAAGTCACTCGGCAACTCAGCTGCAATATAATGTATTGGTTTATCCAGTGATCAAAAAGTGCTGAAATGGTAGCTATAAGGAAGTATTTATAGTGGTAACAACCCTCCCAACAGAGTGTTAACACAACTCATCACGTTGGGAGGTAAATGGGCAAATTATAGTGGTATATCGAGAGGTTTCTTCAGCTTCTCGCGCGGCTCTTTGATTGCTGGACTGTTTTCAGTAGAATGGCCATAACTCCCTCCTTAGAAGTCCAAATGACAATTCGTTTGTTGCATATAAAAGTAAACTTGATAGGCTTTCCATCCATATGTTTCATGCTTGGTCATTCGAAGCAGGCTGAGCTGAGTTATTCTTGGAAGCAGAGGCTTCCATTAGCTTGTGGTAACCTTGTTCTTCTCGTAAACCACTCCCTTTGGAGGATCCTCGCACGTAAACCTGAGTAAGAGAAGTGTAGATGACTTAGGTAGTATATTATTCTCATCAATATGGAAATGCATCTCAGAAAGTAGCGCGTAAATCTGTTGTTGTAGCTTCTTTGCCTGACTGCGCGTAATCGGACTTGAATTTCTTGTAAATGGTGTTTGGCTTGGCTTTACTTGTGTATCTTGTTCATTACCTGTTACTGTAATGTTGGTTTGAATGTCCTCATCAAGCTGTATTACAGTTCAAATCTTTACGAAAAGTGCGTCAGAAAGAAGGGATTATCTTTTTCGTTTTTAGTTCGGAATTTCGCCTAAAACATAGTTATTAAAAGGGACAAAGGACGCTGGTCAATTTTCTTGCCTGATGATTCTAAGTACTTCACTGGAACATAGGAGCAGAAAATATGAAACCGAACTCATTAAACTGAAGTTGTGTCTTGCATCCCTCTTGTGATCATATGACTACAAATTTTTAATAGTTTGATGCCATGTTATTTAAAACCACATTGCTGTTGAATGCTCTCTTCTCTGTGCTTATTTTGTAGACAACAATCAGGAGAAGCTGTGGTCGAAATACATCCACAGCACGGCACAGGACAGCCCAGAGGGTGCAAATATTACCTGTATCTGTCTGCATTGCAGCTTGCAATAATGTTTAAGTGAGATGTTCAGGATGCAATTTGTGATTCGTCAGAAAACTGATTTCCCCATTGTCCTCTCAGCTAGGTTGTCCATCACTGAATGAAGCAACTCAGTTAGGAGGTGGTGACTCCGATCCCCCCCCTCCCCCAATGAAATGGACCGTCTACTCAGAGCTGATGGCTGCATCCTAACCTCCTTCACAAATGCACGAGTTAGGGGGGGAGGCTTGATCGATGTTGATGTCAGTGAGCTCTAGGGAGCTAGCACCTAGCAGACAGCCTGAGAAGACACTAATCATGAAGTACTCACTCGATGTGGTTGAGCAGGGCCGGCGTTCATTGATGGTAACAGCCTCTCCCAGCAAGCCATTTAAGCCACACAGTGGAATTTGAGATAGCATTGGTGGTTATGTGGCCAGGGACCTGATCATCCAAGATTCCAGAACAGTGGTGGATGCTTCTGCAGCTCTGTGTACTACCAGTTCTCATGGAGGCTTTTGTGAATCAGAGCTGGGTCCAAGAACTGATGAATTTTACTCCAGCAACTACCCAGTGTGCCCTCATTGACTGTCTTGTTTTCTTCAGACGTACTGTCTGTGGCTATGGAAGGACCACTGTGTTCATTCATTCAATCTTTCTGTGAATGGAAGAAAGAGGAGAGTACGTTTTTGTCCGCTGTACAACTGCCCAGCTACAGCAAGACAGCCTACGATGTGCAGTGAGCCAGCGACGAGCGTACCTTCAAAGGGACATCTGGTCGTAGCCGTTGGTACTGGATCTGGTGTACTTGGTATTATATTGGATGGTACGTACTAGCTTGATTTTGAATACTTACATTAATTTTTAAGTAAATTTCATAAAACCTAATTTTTTTATGGTCAAAATTAAAGAAAAATTACATGTATTATGAAATGTGACACCTAATCTAGGTATTATGGTTTTAAAATTTCACAAAACCCCACCTTTATGCATTTTGAGCGCGAATTTACTTAAAATTTTAAAACATAGAGTGCAAATGAAAATTTTAATTATTAATTTCTTGATTAAGATCGATAGTTTAATTTTTTACTACTTCCAAAATTTTGTTTAAGATATGTTGAAATTTATCAAGATTTCAAAAATTGCGGAGTTTTATGAAACATTCAGACCATAAAACCTGTGATGTGCCACACATCATAATACCTGTGGTTTTCCACAACTTTGACGACAAAATATGGGGTTTTCTGAAATTTACTCATAATTTTTTACATGCTGCTAAAATGCTAGTACCAATTTATCTCATTCTTGCACAACTTTCTTTGGGCTATGCTGTTTCTATATATTTCTAAGTAAGACAACTCAAATTAGTAGTTGGAATCTTGGAATACATGGATTGCTTGGAGAAAATGACTATATATATTTTATTTTCAAACACTTTGTTATATTTAAACATAGGAGTTAAACTAATTTCGTGTGGTTTGCCAGTCGAATTAAACTATTATTAATATGATTTGTATCACATGTAATTAATCGAATGAAAGATTGGACCTATACCGTCCAAAGTTCACCACTTTAGAGTAGTATCATTCGAAGTACATCATTTCACAATAACACCAGGGGAAAGATACTACTCCGCCTAAATTAACAGGTAGTCATTATCCATGGCAAAATTGCCCTTCTTTTAATATTTTGGGGGTTTGGATGGTGATAGCCAACAACCGTAAAGGCCAACATGAACAATCCAAAGGATGAGAAGCTTGCCAAGCTGTACTTGTGAGTTGTGACCTGAGAATTGAGATACATCAAAGAAAGGACAGGCTAGTTACCATGAACTTAGATTGTATTGCAAATGCAAGATCCAAGTTAAGTATCCAAGTAAAGGTTAGTCTTCTAAAAAAGTTGTTGCCTTTCTTGTTTTGTGCATCAATGGAACTTAAGAAGAGCAAGATGATTTCTTATGTGAAAAGTTGAGAATCAACTTATCTGTCACTGGCCCAATATCTGGCATGGTAGTTGAGCATTTGAAGTTTTGAGCCCTCTGCATGTTCTTGTGTCCCACCAGGCCCATTCACTCATTTCTTACTACAGGATACCAACAGTAGCATTTATAGTTGAGCTTAGCAAAACTCGTATTTAGAACAAAAATTTGGTCAATAACTTTTAAATGCTTAGTTCACTATTAGTGTGGTAGTGAAGTCGTGGATACATGGCTCAATTTACCAGGGTTCAAATCCTAGTATATATAAATTTGGTTGATGTATCTTTAGTTGGTATAAAGGCCAGAAGTAATAATTCCTTTGTTCAAAATAATAATGGCATTTGTAGATTTTCCTTGACAAGTACTATTATAATATGATAAAATTAGTAGATTTTATCAACTTATTCCAATATAAAATTGTGGTCAGAGTTGTATTTTGATAGCTATGGAAAAAGTCGAGCATTAAATATTTATGACCGTAAGTTGTACAATTAGCACCAGTACATTCATGCAACACAAAGAGTACATATATTTTACCTTCATCTTTTCTTTGAATTTGGAGTGGGCTAGAATTAATTAGGAGGCTGCTATACAACGAACCCGTTCAGACAAGATGATACTGGTTAGGTATCAAGTGATACTTATAGGTATTGACTGATACTTATTGGTACCGGATGTTGATATCCGTTGATGCCACCTGATACTCGTCGATACTTACGAGGTATCATATGATTCCTGCGAGGTATCGGGTGATACTTACGAGGTACAAAGAGATACTTATGATATCGGATTCTGATACTTATAGATATTGGATGATTCCTATGAGATGTCAGGTGATACTTGGCGAGGTATCACATGATACTTGGGTTCTCATAGTTGTAGGTATTAGATGATTTGTATGAAGTGTCGGTGATACTTACGAGGTATCAGATGATACTCCACGTGGGCGACAAATGTAGTTCACGAGGAGCAGGTCCTCCACCGTCCATGCCCCCACGCTAGAGCTCGTCAGCAGTGGCCACGTCCTCCTCGTTGAGCAGGTCCTCCATCCACACGGCACTCCAGAGCTCATCGTCGATGGTTGCGTCCTCTGCAAGTAGGTCCTCCACAGTCCACGCCCCACGCTGGAGCTCGTCATTGGTAGCCGAATCCTCCTCGCACTAGGTCTATCCACTCCTACGACAATTTTGTCCCAGCCGTCACGTCTATCCACTCCTATGACAATTCCATCCTAGCCGTCACCACAACCCATATCCATCGGCTCCGACACCGAGCCTGCACTGTTCCTTGGTGCAAGACCTCTCCTTTTGATTCAGCGATGACAACCAAGCCCCGTGCAGCGCCGCTGTCCTCGGCTGGCGCGGGCAGCTGCGCAGTGCGACGGTGGTGTCCGCCACCGCGCCATCACACCGCTACCTCGCGCGGAATCCGGTTGTCTCTGCGCCGTAATGGCCGCCATGAAATATTGTGTTCTCAGTGTCATTTTTTGTTCATAGCCACGTGAGATTGGGAGAGGATCCCGTCATGAACGCTAATAATGGTATCCCGGAATCTAGAATTCCACTAAAATATACACTACGGATACTTGAAAATCATGCGAAATGGCAACAATCCAGCCAATACCCGGAGTCTAGCATTCCGCTACGGATACTTGAAAATCATGCGAAATGGCAACAATCCAGCCAATACTTTCGTTGTTATTTCACTCAAGCTTTATCTTGTCCAATTTCAAAAGGCAAACCTATCAAACTCTTTGTAACAACTGTCCAAAATCGGTATTAAGGACAACCAATGCTCTTAGCTTCAATTTGCTCAAGATGTGGCTCACTACTAGAAAAATAATTTTTCATGGCGTTACCCTATAATTCTCGCTAGCGGCCATACGCAAAAACCGTCAGCAAAAATATAACAAGGGGAGAGGGGGTTACGGACCGCCAGCGAAAACCGATTTTTGCTGGCGGCCATGCTAAGAGGTCTGCCATAAAAAATAACTCTATTTTTTAAGGCGGACCTTTTAAGTGTCCGCCAGCAAAAATCGCGTTTTCGCTGGCGGTAGGTAAAAGGGACCGCTAGGAAAAAGTTTTAAGGCGAATATATAAACCCACCGCACCTACCACCTACCACCCCTACCTCAGTCTCTCCTTCTCTCCTTCTCACTCGCGTTCTCTCCTTCTCCCTCTCCGTCCTCCACTGCCGCCGGGGGCTGCCGTCGCCTCTCCACCGCAGGCTCGGGGTCGGATCCAGCCACCACATCGATGGGGGTGGTTGGATCCGTCGCTGCGACGACGGGGGTGGCCGAATCCGCAGCCACATCGACGGGGGAGGCCGGAGCCGTCACCGCCACGACGGGGGAGGTCGGATCCGCCGCCACGACGACGAGGGTGGCCGGATCCACCGCCGCGACGATGGGGGAGGCCGGATCCCCGGATCTGCTGCCGACGCCGATGAGGCCTCGGCAGTAGCGCGGGGAAGGGGGCGGCGGCGGCAGCGGCTCTCGGCGTCAGCGGCGCGGGGGAGGAGGCGACGGGGAGCGGATCCTGCGCCTCCTTCCTCCCCACCGGCGGCGGTGAGGTGGCGACGACGAGAGACCGGCAGCGGCACGGATCTGACGAGCTCAGTTAGGATTTTTTTTTTTTTGCATGTTTCCTGATGATCTAGATGATGCAGATGTTTTGTGCATGTTGTGATGTTTGATCTGTGTACATCTGTGCTAATGATGATTTTGTGCTAATGATGATTTTGTATTGTGTTTGAATTTGGAAATGAGCAGCCATATGTATATGAATTAGAATCTACATCTCTAGATGTGGATTTGAATTTTAAAAATGAATCAATGGGCTTTTCTCCAAATCTTCGCTGGCGGCTGGGCAGCTGCATGCGAATTTTTTTCCCAAAATATATTTTCCCTGGTGGCTGATTTAACACAGCCGCCAGCGAAAATGAATTTTTGCTGGCGGCCTGTGTAAGACGACAGCCAACAAAGATCCATTTTTGCTGGCGGTCGTCTTAAGACGAAAATGAATTATTGCTGGCGGTCGATAACCGCTAGCGAAAATCGTGATCTTCACTGGCCTTTGCTTTGTGGCGGCTCCAAATTCCGCCAGCGAAAATCTAAAATGGCCGCCACGAAAAAGGTTTTCGTAGTAGTGGCTGAAGATTTAAGGCTTCGAAGGGTATTTTGATGGAAAAGTCTTCGAAGTTTAGTAGGGTATTTATAGCAAATAGGTTCACCAGTCAGTCTTATATTATATGGAGTATATGCTAATAGTATGTGCTTTTTTTTTTTGGGCAGCGACAAGGTTGTCATGCTGTGTGATGATATTTGGCAGCTACAAAACATTGCAATATCCTGCAGGGAACGCCAGCACCTCTGCACCTGCCTATCATGAATCAGAATCATTAATTCAAACAAGATCGATATGATTCTTTCCTAGAATGATCATGAATACTGTGCTATTGACAACTGAGAGTCTGGTACTGATGCTTTTGTACTAATCACTATTATAAGTATTAGTTCCCATTTTCCAGGGAGTGCTCAATATTAACACCAACTTTTGGTATCTACTTGATAGGAAGTAGTAGCATAGAGCATCCTCAGAAAAAGAGAGGTTTCTATAAACTTTTTTTTCCTTTTAACTTGAAATTTCAAAAAGAGAAGGCTGGGAAGCCTTTTATGTTGTCTTCTTATTGAGCCCGCCAATATAGATGTTTTGGGCCTGATCTTCAACAATATAGTCATAAGCCCAACTCTATTTTCCACACCCAATAGTTCCCTCCCAAAATATAGTTGTTAATCTATGTAACTATATGTAAGTACATGTGCATTTCACTATTTATCAATCTATTTCTTTCCATAACCCAAGAAATTACTCCCTCACCGCTAAGGAACAATTTTGTTTTTGAACACAATAAAATGGTAATCTGCTCACTAGGTAAAAGAGATAAAAATACGGGGATCGCTAGTTGGCGCGTCTGCCGGCGCGTGTTTCTTTGGGATAAGGTAGTTAGACTAATCTATTAGTCTTAGATAATAACCGTTTGAGATAATGACGGTAGTAGATAATAAGATTTTCTTTTTCCCGCGAGATTTTTTTAAATAACAAATTGAAAAGAAAATCTATATATGAAGTCAAATTTTCAAAATTTTAAACCCAGATTTTAAAACTTTCAACTTGAATTTTGAATTTTTAAAGTCAAATTTTGAAAACTTTCAACTTTTCATCTCAAATTTGAAAAACTTTTAACTCAACTTTGAAAATATTCAACCCAGATTTAAAAACTTTCAACTTGAGATTCAAAAACTTTCAACTCGAGAGTTGAAAATTTTTAAGTTAAGATTTGAAAAATTTTCAAGTCATGATTTAAATACTTTTAACACAAACTATTTAAAAATACGTGTGCTAAAAATGTTTAAAAAATAATCAGAAAAAAGAGCAAAAACAAAAGAAAAAAATCATGAAAAAAGGGAAAAAAAACGCCGTGCGGGGGTGGGACCGTGCCGCCAGCTAGCGCGTGCCAATTAGCTTTCTTGTAAAAATACAGTATTATTACGAAGTCCTTCTCTACATAATTTAGGCCATTGCTTAGTAAATACGATTTTGCTATATATTTATCGATAAATTTTCTTCCAAAAATTTGACAGATGTAACTACAGTACAATCGTAGTGTAATTACACTGTAATTTGCATGTAATTACATTGTAACTATAATGTAACTTTCAAAAATCTCTCTGTAACATGTTATTTCGGTAAAATGGAGGTCGTGGGAACAAATCTTTTCACATATGTGTGTGCTGTGATTTTTTTCTTCCTCACTATAACAAATCTTGTAATAGATCTAACGATTCAAAATTACGTGAAACTTACATACAAGTTATACTGTAGTTACATGCAAATTACAGTGTAATTACATACAAGTTACAGTGTAATTACACTACGATTATACTATAATTACATCTATCAAATTTTTAGGAGAAAATTTGTCGACAAATGTATAGGTGGTCCCATTACCATATGATTCTAACAAACATGCCACCCTATAGAAACACTAAGTATAGAAAGTCACCCACCGCCATCAGCTTAGCTAGGCAGCTGTTGCACCAGCCGTTCCCAGGCTCCAGCCGCTGCTCCCACACCTTTAGTGCACCGTGCTCGCCATCGAAGTCCATGGCCTACCGTTGGTGCATATGGCAACCACCAACTGTCGCGCCCACCATCGGTGTCGCCGCCACTGTTGGAGTCGCAACTGCGCCCGCCGTCGATGCCAGCAGCTGGTGTCACCGGCCATCGCCAAGACACCGCGCGGCCTCCACCAGCCTCCATTGCCTGCACAGGTCTCTCGCTGCCGTCAACCACACCGGCCGCCCGCTGCCATCACCTACGTCAGTTTTCCTGCTGTTGTAGCCTCCACCAGCTCAGATCGTGTCGCCCTCCAAGGACATCTTCACGCTGCCGGTTGACCGCAGCCAGATCAGTCACAGAGGCGCCAGATCCGAATTCATAGCTCATATCACAAATCCATAAATTAGTACAGTTCATGTTTACAACTGCAGCAGAAGCATTTTATGCATTTTCATACACCATGGTTTTATTCACAAATCACCACCTCATATATTTTCGTACAACAAGCAATACATTTTCGCTGCATATATATATATATATATATTAATTATTGTGATTGGAGGCTAGCACAAGTTCATGTGGTGAGGACCGGTGGAAGCTCGTCGGAGCTGCAGCCGAACACCTTGGCGTTGGTGTCCGGGAAGAAAGGGACGGCCTCCCAGAGCTCGCCGCGGTCGCCGACGCCGACGGGGTACGCCATGAGGTGGCCGGGGAGGCTCCCCTGGAACTTGTCGCTCGCGTACATGTCCCAGTGCTGCCGCGCGGCCTGGTTCACCCGGCTCATGCACCCATGGCGCGACGGGTAGATCATGTCGTCGCCGGCGGCGGCGGCGGCCTGGAACGCCGCCTGGCCGAGGTGCTCCCGCCACAGCGCGAGCCGGAACTGGTGCACTTGCCCCCTCGGCCACGAGTTCGGGGTGTCCAGGTGCCGCGGCTGGTACGCGCCCATCGCCATCTCCGTGTCCCTGCCGCCGTCCATGGATCGCTGGTTCACGTTCGCCGACCCCACGATGATGTACTCGTCGTCCACTGCAAAAAAATCATGGCGATCGATTGTCAACGGTTTCGTTTTGATCATCGTGTTCTTGTCAAATGTCCATATCTTGTCAATATCCCTGGTCCATATAATGTACTCTCTTCGTCCTAAAATTTATGATGCCATTGATTTTTTAGATAACATTTAAGTATTTAACTATTCGTTTTATTCAAAAGTTTATCATACGAAGAACGTTATGTGGAAACTAAACGACGTAATATAGATTGGGACAGAGGGGAGTACCTATCATGATGTTGGCGTTGACGTTGATCTTGAAGCGCCTGGCCTGCTGCGCCCTCATGTAGTCGCTGTCGAGCTCCGGCCGCTCCGGCGGCGCGTGCTCGCCGGGGACGTACGGCTCCCGGTTGCCCAAGCAGAAGAAGCTGAGGTACTCCCTGGGGTTCTGCGTCGAGCCCCTCGCGGCGAGCGCCGCCGCCACGTCCTTGTACATCATCTCCATGGTCCGCCGCTGCCAGTCCAGGACGGCCTGCACGGTGGCGCTCTCCGGCACGCCCTCCGGCCACATCGGGAGCACCACGTACACCCTGAACGAGTCCCCGGACCTGATCTTGCTTGCGAGCTTCAGCGACAGCTCCTTGGGGATGGTGTGCGGCGCCACGGCGGCGGCGGCGGCGTTCTTGGCGGTGGCGGCGCCGCCGGCGACGTCACGGTTCCACCCGTAGGAGCTCCCTAGGAAGCACTGGCTCTCGATGTAGATGAAGTACTTGGCGCGGCGGATGGCGTGGATGTAGCCGTCCTGGATGCTGCGCTCCACGGTGTCGCCGGTGGCGCCGGTGACGAGGCCGCACCGCGCGGCCTCGCCGGCGGTGTCCGGGAACCGGTCCACCGCGCGGCTGTCGATGGACCGGAACACCTGCACGTGCCACTCCTGGTTGTCCTGCTCCACCGCCTCGCGCGCGGCGGAGCTCCTTGGGAGGCGGGCGAGGAGGGCCTCGCCGCCGGCGCCGCCCTGCCCCCGCCACCTCTGCTCGAAGTTGTCGAGCACGTCCCACGCCGCCGGGCCCTCGATGCGGCAGTGCACGTCGTGCCACGGCTCCCTCGGCCCGCCCTTGGCGACGGACGCGCCGGGGAAGCTGGGCTGGTGGAAGTCGTCGCGGTGCGCGGTGGCGAGCGTCCGGAACAGCGGGTGCTCCTGCGTGTCGTACCTTCCGCCGCAGAGGTCAATGCCGCCGAGGAACGCGACGAGGCCGCGCGGGCCGTCGGCGACCACCGCCTTCTGGTGGTGCGTGAACACGGCGTCCCGGGGGCACACGACGCAGTGCACGCCCGTGCCGCGGAAGTAGCTCGCCGTGTCCTCGCCGCGCGCCGCGCCCATCCTCCCGTCCCGCCGCGCCGCGCCGAGGCCGGTGGCCGCCCGATCGTCCCACACCAGAAGCAGCACGGCGACGCGCTCCCCGGCCTTCGACTTGAGCAGGTGCCCCAGCGTCTGCGCGGGCCGCCTCGGGTCGCGCACCAGCGCGACGTCGGTGCTCACCGACCAGCCGGCGATGTACACCAGACTCCGGGCGTTGGCGACGGCGTCGAACACGTCCTCCCAGCACCTGCTGCCGGCGAGCGGCGGCGCGACGTGCGCGTCCTGGTACAGGGTCACCTTGCATCCGCGGTGCTGCCCGAAGAAAGCGCGGGGCAGCCCGGTGTACGGCGGCGGCGGCACGGGACCATCGACGCCCTTGCCCCACCGCGACGTGACGTCGGACATCACGTCGGTGAACCGGAGCTGGACATGAACCTTGTCAAGGCCTTCGAGTGGCTTCCTCTTCTCGTCGCAGAGCGGGAGCCACCGGTCGATCTCCTTGCCGCCGCCGACGTCGTCCGCGGGCAGGTAGGCTTGGCCGACGACCTCCTCGGCGGTGCCGTCTTCAGGATCGCCGTCGCGGTGGCCGCCGGTCGTCACGATGGTGAAGACGATGTCGCTGGCGTCGTGCGCGCAGTAGACGTGGAGCGGCTCCTCAGTCCACTGCGGCTGGTCGGTGGCGCGCGTCCGGGCGACGCGCGCCGCGTCCATGCCAATGGTGGCGTAGACGAGGCACTTGCCGTCGCCGTGGTGCGCTTGGTCAGTGGACTTGTCGAACCTCTGCGAGTGCATCAGTTAACCAGTATCATTATTTTCTTTTACAAGGAAGTTACTCCGTTTTTTCAATACATAAATACCTTCGACCTTTATGTACAACTACTGTTCGTCTGATTTAAAATAGTACGTACTATTTATTAACTTGGTTTATCATTAAATATATTTAAAGCACATTTCTTTTCTATTTGGACAATTTTAATAATATTAATGGTTGATGTACTTCCTCCTCTTAAAATAAATTAACTTACTATTATATGTGTCCAAATTCGTAAATTAAGATGTGTCATATTTTATATTAGATTAATTTATCTTGGAATGAAGGAGGTAACTTTAAAAATTAACGATGCTATATATCTATTAAACAACGAATTGAAGGAAGATAGTACTGGCAAGTATCAGCTGGAATTAGTTACAGAAGCATTACTGCATAATTAAGTACAATAATTAATAATGGACAATTAGATGGCGTATGTGGCTACTTCATGACCAGTGACAGGAGAGTTTTCGAACCTGGCAGGTGAAGATGAACGGCAGCTTCATGATTAGTGACAAGAGCTTTGTCCTCGGCAGCTTCTGACTCTGGTACAAGCACAAGTCGATTTCTTTTCTCAAATTGCACGGTTATAATATGTCACTAGATCGAAATCCTATGCGTGTGACTTAAGTTAAATGACAAAATGGTAAACGTGGTGAATGGGTTTGGCTTTACGTGTTCTATTCAATTTTGTTCCTTAGATTAATTATGATGTAGCTTAAGGAGATAAGAGGAACAGAATACACCATAGATCAGCTATTAATTTAAGGACTTGAAATAATTGAGATATCCATTAATTATATGGCACTGTGAGAGAATAAACAACTATCAATTTATAAGGGCATATCCATTTAGTTCAGCCCAACCAAAACTAAGGTCCCGTATTGGCAGCTTGCTTGATTTTCGTTAGCACACACGCTTCCCAAAATGCTAAACAATGTTTCTCTTAAGTAAATTTCAGAAAACTATAGGAACTTTAACCAAACTATCGTAAAACTATAGATTTAACTACAAATTTATCATCAAATTTATGATACAACCACATATCTAAAGCATTGTATCACAAGTCTACAACTTTAATTTGTGATGAAGTTATTAAAGAACTACAAATTTTAGAGTTTATATCCATAGCATTATTGAGGTAACAAAAATTGTACTTTTGTGGTAAAACTGATGTTAATTTGTAGTTTCTTTTTATACAATATCTTAAATCTATTTATGATAGATTGATCAAAATACATATAGTTTCGTGAAATTTGCTCTTTTTTTAATATAGATGTTTCTTTTAAGAATCAAATAAACTTATTTTTAACTTATAATAATTAACTAGCTGGGTTGCTCGCGCAATTGCGTGGCTAGCACCTATACGAAGTTATCTATTTTTTACAAACGATTTTACTTACAATTTGTTAAATAGCTATAATGTTGCCTTAGGACTTTAAAAAATCGTATGTTATCATCTCGGGTTTCTAATTTAATACTTTCTCCGTTTCATATTATAAAACTTTCTAGCATTGCCTAAATTTATATATATGCTAACGAATTTAGACATATATGCGTGCCTAGATTCATTAACATCTATGTGAATGTGGGCAATGTTAGAAAATCTTATAACCTGAAACGGAGGCAGTAGTTTTTAATAGTCACGCCTGTCACTATCCCTTACTCCTTTATTACCTATTTATTTGATTCACATACACACATACATATATATAATGGATATACATTCATTATCTTGTAACATTTAAAAATTGGACCTTATAGCTTTTAGAATTTATTGTCTCATTGGCCTCCTTTTTATATTTAGAAGTCACGTCAAACATCGTCATTGTATTCCTCTATGGCATCCCCTCTTTATTGTCATTTTAAAATCGAACATAATTATTGTTAGGGTTTATTTTTTTACTTTTAGAAGTCCCACCAACCGTCGCATACATGTCGCTTAATGGCTTACCCATCGGTCCTATTTTTAATCGTTTGGGATTCTAAAAATCGAACCTAATCATTTTTGGGGTTTATTTTATATTTTTAGATGTCCCGTCGACCATCACTACTCTATTTCTTTATAAGCCCATTACTCCTTCATCTTTATTATCATTTATCATCGTTATTTTCTAGATGAACTATTGTTTTTTAAAACTCTATTTTTTACTCTCATTTTTATTTATAAATTGTATTTACTTCAACTGTTATATTACTTTTTCTTATTCCAGAATTTATTTTATTTTTAATTCGAATTCCATTATTTATTTTATTATTTATTTTGAATTTTATTTAGCCTCATACTATATTTTATATGTACTGTTCTTGCACTATTTATTTTTCTGAATTTCAGTTATTTCTAAATTGTATTGCTACTTGAACTCTCATTTTCACTCATCTAATCTTAGAATTTATTCTTTTGTCCAAAATTTAAATAATGTTGTGTTGTAGATGGTCTTCTTTCAATAGTCCTTATTTTTTATCCTTAATTTTAGTTATTTATAAATTGTATTTTTATTTGAACTCTTATTATTATTTTTCTATTTTGAAATTTATTTTATTTTTATTCTGAATTGGACTATTCTCTCAACATTCTTTATTTTTCATTCCGAATTTTAGTTATTTCTAAATTATATTTCTACTTGAACTCTTATTTTTATTTTTCTAATTTCAATTTTTTTTTATTTTTTTATTTCGAATTTTAATTAATCTCTAGTAGTGTTCTATATGGACTCTTGGTTCAATATTTCTAATTTTAGCTATTTGTAAATGTATTCATACTTAACTTGCTTTTTCTCTGATTAATGTGGGAGTTTCTAGCGTCCACGCCGAACGCGTTGCCTCTTTTCAAACCTGTTCTAATAATATAATAGATACTCAATTAGTTATACACTAATGGCTTAATACATTTTGCGCACCCTGAAAAATCATATTCCAAACTCACTTCCAAAGTCAACCTTAAGTCTTCCATCTCATTAAGAGAGTCCACTTCCTAAAATAACACACAAGAGTTGGCTCAATGGATATTAGGCCATTCCCGGTGCAAGTTTCATAATAGTTTTCAATCTTATTAAATGAGATGCCAATGCCATATAAACTAAACTCAAGAAATTTATGAAGAGAAACAAGAAGTGGGTTTCATCTAGATGAAACTTGGTTTAGACCCTGTTTAGATGGGACTAAAACTTTTTAGTCCCTATCACATAAGATGTTTAGACACTAATTATAAATATTAAATGTACACTATTAATAAAACCCATTCTATAATGCTGGACTAATTCGCGAGACGAATCTATTGAGCCTAATTAATCCATGATTAGCCTATGTGATGCTATAGTAAACATGCGCTAATTATGGATTAATTAGGCTTAAAAATTTTGTCACACGAATTAGCTCTCATTTATGTAATTAGTTTTATAAGTAGTCTATGTTTAATACTCCAAATTCATCCGATATGACAGGGAGTAAAGTTTAGTCCTTGGATCCAAACACCACCTTACGCACTTAACTATATCTTGGAAATAGAATGAAAGTCCATTGTGACTAAATCATTGGAAACCACGAAATGAAACAGTGTATTGGAGATATTTAATTTTATTCATAATTACAAGCCTCAATGGATTATGTTGCACTATTGGAAACCACAAAATAAAACTATCCACTGGAAATGCACTTACTGTCACCAATAAGAGTACACTTTATTTATTTCAATGGGCTCTATGGTTATTTTTAGCTACATTGATAGACATGTTTTCTGCTGAAACTGGGTTTCCCTCGAAAATTGTGTTTCATATAGTACTATATCTGTTATTATGTTACAAGTGCATTTCTAACACTTGGAAGGTAAAGTATTAGGAAGAAAAATGACATATATGCTCTTCATTAAATAATGAATTGGATGTGGGAGGTAGTTAGGGGTAAAATGAAGATAATTTCAAACAAGAGATGATTGATGTGACACCTAATATTCTAAAAATACAATATTTCTGAGACAATCTTAAATTCTTAAAATATACTCCCTCCGTCCCCAAATATAAGGGATTTTGAACGGATGTGACATTTTTTAAGTGCTACGAATCAGGACAGGGAGCATGTTTATCAATCCCCTCCTATCTCACTTATATTTTAATATTTTAGGACGGAGGGAGTACTTCGTCTAGCAGGCAAATGTTTAGCAATCCCCTCCTATCTCTATTCTCCCTCTTTCACATCAGTGAAATTGTCTAGCATGTAGTTTCGTTGGCTAGCTATAATTGTTATTATACATAAGTGCCATCGTACAAGCTATTCATTTGCTGTTGAGCTTATTAGCCATATCCAAAATTTAAATTTTGAATCTTAATTTTATAATTGATTTTGTTATTTTTATATAAGCTTTTGATTCACTAAGAATGCATATATATTTAAATTTTATTCATAAATTATTTATTGGTCCTTAATAAGCAATTACGTCTTACAGTCAGCTCCAAGCGAAACAATGTCTCTTAGAAAAATTTGATAATTTGACAATTTCCTGTTGCCAATTTGCTTTAATTGATACTTGTGAGCTAGAATAGTATGTGAGATCATCTGAGTGAACGAAAGTAGATCGGGATGTCAAACAAACAGCGTCAAGTTATCAGAGCTCTCCGAATCTTATATGTATACCTTGCTATAGGCAGCCAGCTTGGGCTGCCCATGGCCATAATCTGATGCCTCTGAGGACACTGACGACAGCTTGGCCTCCAGGACCTTGGCCTCCATCACCCCGTGCAGCAACCGCTGTGCCATGGTTGCAACCTCTCCCTCAGCTTACCTTAATCCTGATCTCTCTCTCTCTCTCTCTCTCTCTCTCTCTCTCTCTCTGTTATTGTTAGTATCTGTCCTGAACTTAATGATTTGCGCGCGTATGTGTATATATAGCTAGCCAGTGCAGGGTTGTGATCTGCAGTCTCCTTCCTTCCTTCCGTGAAGCACAATTAATCAGAGGACAAAGTCGCCAGCCAGCGATTACAGAGATACCTATATATATTACCAGGTTGCAGAATTAAGTGATCTGGCAGCAAGGGATACTCAGGCGCACAAGGAAAGCCAAGGATAAGTGACAGTGTTCTTTCGAACTGGCTTTGTGCTTTTCTCCATCTTAAGCGAAGAAACAGGCATCTATGTTGTAGTACTTCCTAGCTATTAATACAATGGTTATAAGGTAGAGTCTCTCTACCTTTTGCGTTAAAAAAAACTTCCTAGGTATGAATTAATGCAAACAACATATACTACTACGGTAGAGTAACAATGGCATTAGGTGTTGATTTACGATTACTCGTAAAAAGTTGTTCTTTTGTAAAACTCTCTAAAATATGAACCTATAGGCTACAGATGACTTTTATTAGCTGCAACTAATTATTGGTCAAGATATGCAAAGTTTGAGTTTCTAAAAGCCTAATATGCGTCCTAAAATTTAACATGTTAATTAAAAAAAAATCTACTTTCCTCTCCCAAACTATATCACCAAAGCATTTAATATCCTAAACTATTTTCTAGGCTCACTTTATACCTCATAAACTATTAAACATGGGCCACTTTACTTCTTAATGATATCTCTCCTTTTCTTTTCTTCATATGATTTTTATTTTAAGCTAAAAATTTTTAGAGCTATAGATGACATCATTATTAAAATTGTAAAATATTTTTCGAAATTTTCATGATTGTTGACTTGAAATTTAAAGCCTCAATGTTTAAATGAGTTCTAGTTTTTAAATAAAAATTCCAAAAAAAATATTATATAGTGCATCTATCAATCACACCAAATTTTAATGCAAAATTCGACTTGTATAGAGAGAGAGAAAAAAAAAGAAGAAATAACATTAGTGAGTAAGTTGAATGACTTTCAGTAGTCTGGGGTATAAAATGAGTGAGAAAATTATTTATAGAGGTTAAGTGCTCCAATGAAATAGCTTAGAGGTGTAAAATAAGAAAAATATTTTTTGTTAAAAAATAGAAATATGGGCACCGTTATATTGTGGTGTATCAAGATTATAATGGAGCAAATAGCCATATAGCTGTGTGAACAAAATATAATTACACATAGCAAAAATTGCATATCAAATTCAATTGTACTTTTCAATATATCTGTACGCAAATTTACAATAAAAAATCAGGTAAAATATTAGGAATGGCAAGAACAATTCTATATACCAACTTCTCTGGGAAACTACAAAAGGAACCTAATTAAAATGAGATCTCGTTAGGTATTGAGTCTTAGTTGGGAGAGACGAGAACAATAATGTATTTGAATCTTCCTAAGGTCTGCTTTGACACAAGCCCATAACCCTAGTGAAAGGAAACATATATTTATGATAATAGGGATATGACAACATATATGCATGTTTAGGATCGTGCCTCATCAAGCTTTTGTGGGATAGGGGATAATGAAATACGTCTTCAATCTGCACCTTCCTGATCATCAATTATAAATTCTTTTTCGAACGGTCAACCCATTCCCGATGTTTTAAATAAAGAAGAATGTATCCTATTTTAAGAAAAAAAGGGAACTGAATTTTACAGCACATAGTTAATTAGAAAAAACTGAGTGAAAATCACAACTCCAACAAAGTCTTCAACTAACCTAAACAACATAGCAACGGAAAAGGACAGTCAACAAACGATGCTCAACACATAAACGGCAAGGCCATGCAACAAGCTAGAAGAAAGGAAGACTCCCACACTAGCAAAGATATGAAGGATTTTCTCGATGATGCCTTCAAGAAGGACACCATGCCAAACCACGTCGTCATTGCTGGCCTTGAGCTAGGTTTTCATTCGAAGAATCGAAACACAGCATGACGAGGAGACAAAAATGTCACCTCCAAGAAGAGAACGGCGCCCACAGGCATTGCCGTCTAGGCTTTCACCATAGCCTCCACCGAGCTGCCAATGTTAAAGCAGTCCCACTGTCAGTTGTGCTCGCTCACAGGTGTGTTTACAGCTGCCCTAGCCCAACGTAGTGTGTCAAGGTGACCTACTTTCCTACACCGCAGCCACCGACACCCTCCAAAAATAAATGGAGCGTCCATCATCACCCATCATCACCAACTGAGCCGACAAGATGCCGGATCTAGCCACGGATGCCCCAGATCCGGCAAACCTTCACTCCTGGGGCTGCATCCGACGCCAACCAGTTTTCAAGCTACTGGATCTAGGCATGGATGCTTTAAAACTTTTGAATAAGACAAATGATCAAACATGTATTTAAAAGTCAACAACATTATCTATTAAAAAACTAATGGAGGGACTATAAGACATGCCCTATGAAACTTCTGGATCGCTGATGTCACATGCTATACAAGTAAAAGCATATACGAATAAAAACAATGATATTTTTATTTGAATAGCTCGAATTTAAATTACATGACTAATTTTTTATGAGGTTTTTGGATGGCATGCGGGCTTTTTTGAATATTCGACTTATATATATTAATAAGAGTAGGGAAATATAAATTCCCATGTACGTTGCTTTAAACTGATACAAGTCAGAGAGATACATAAAACAATCCTTTTAGAAGGTAAAGGTTGCTGAGAAAGTAATCTTTCGGATACCCATGCAGCAATAATAGATGAAATCGATCGATTAGAGAGTTGCGGCATTGCCGTGATGATTTCATCCACAGGCCTCTACTAATGTGTACACCGTTTAACAAATCGGCAATCCCTTCAATTGCCTCCACGAAATAAAAAAAAATTCAAAAAATTTGACACGATAGATTAATGGGTAATATATCACTCCACAAAGCAACCTCAAATTCAACTTGTAAAGGTTGTATTAAATTTCTTATTTTTTTTACACTAGAAGTTGAATTTGAATTTACATACTTGTGAAGTAATATATTACACATTAATTTATCTTATCAATTTTTTTAAAGTTTTCTCATAGATATTTGGTTGAGTGGACATCCACCCATGGATCTCCGTTAAATTTGAGGAGCGAACGGCCCTCGCGTCGCCATCCCCCTCGGGCGACACGGGAGGCGACTTGGCTGCCATCGCCGACCTCTCCTTCCCTCCTCCTCTGCCTCGCCGCCGCCTGAGTGGCCGTCGGCAAAGCTGCGTGACCGCAAGGATGGGGGCGGCGGGGCTTCGCTTCTCTCACCACGCAGGGGTAGGGGGCTGCTCGGCATTTGGAACGGTGGAACCGCCCAGATTTGTGCGTTCCGGCCGGATCTGGTAGGAAGGAAGTTGGCGGCGGGGTAGTGCCGTGGGGCGGTGGCATTTGGCGGGGGTGGCGGCGGCGTTTGGAGGTGATGGCGGCGGTGGAAGTGACCGCTAGATCCGCGCCTAGAAATGGCGGGGAAGTGACCGGTGGCGGGGTCTACTGCTGGCGATCGACGGCGGTGCCCGGTGGCACGGCGGCGGGCGAGGTTCGACTCCGTGACGGTGGAGGTGGCGCCAGCTCACCGAAGAAGTTGCGGCCGGCAGCCATGAAGCGCGTGTAGGCTTGGTCGGCGGCATCGAGGACGGCCGACGCGTGATGGCTACGCAGCAGGAGGTGATGTCATGGAGGCGGAGCCTGGTGAGGTGGCTGCACGCGGATACTAGCCGGTGGGGGCGCCGGTGCAGTGTACCGACGCGCCGGCAGAGGTTTTTTATGGCGGTGGAGCAATGGAGTTTCTGTGGTAGATTGGCAGGTGGTGGACGGCGGGTGAAAACCCAGCCCGGCCTCGGCCGGACCGACAATCGATGGCGTTCAAGTGTCATTCCCCTCCTGAGGGTGTTGTCGTGCCGTCTCACCCCTCAACGGTTGTTGCCAGGCGAAAGCCCAGTCTCGGCTCTCTTGAGACCTTGACGGACGGCGGCGGCGGTGTTTCCATCGCTTCTCTCCTTGGAGACGTCATCTAGGCATCCCCTTACCAAAACCACCCAAACTTTTGGCGCAAGCACGCTCTAAATTTCTTCCTCTCGTGGCGGCGTCCTAAATACTACAAGTTGGCCACGGCGGAGGGCCTAGGGGGAGAGATGTTCCATCTTCTCTCTCACCCTCTCTCGCTAAATCCTAAAGACGTGGATAAAGTTGGATTTTGTGTTGTTTGTAAGGGTAGGGTTTTGGGCGATCTCGGTTGTTTCTGTTGTTAGTTTAGCAGCGGCCAGTCCGGTGCTACTCTTCTCCAGGACTTGTGGTTTGGCGTTGTCGGTGTGTGGGCGGCAGTACATTTTTTTGTTTTTTCTGGTTACGACCTACAGGATGTAATATTATAATTTTTTTCTACTCTATCACTAGAATTTCGTACCGTCTTGTACTAGTCATTCCAGAAAAGAAAATTTGAGGAGCGCTAGCTTCATCCCTGCTGACCTCGACAAGAAAAAACAACTATATACCATAACTCTTGCTTTTCGCATGTGATGAAGGTTAAATTAGATATCCTAATTAAGCAAAGCAAAATGGAATATATATGGAGCAGTACAATGGTGTTGCCGCGGCGTGGCAGGCAGCTAGCTGGCCGGCCGGCAGCCACGCCACCGTCTACTATACGCCGCTACGGTGCGGACGACGAGGCGGCGCCGGCGAGCGCATGGGTGCGGTTGAGGACGGACATGAGGCGCTGCAGCCTGAGATCCTCCCTGAACTGCCGGATGAACCGCTCCGCCCTCGCGTTCACCTCCGCCTTCCCTTCCACCTCCGCGAACGCGCGCCTCCCCTTCGCCGCCTCCCTCCTCTTCCTCGGCCTCTCCTCCGCCGTAGCAGCAGCAGCCACCTCGCCGGCGGTGGCAGCAGCAGCAGCAGCAGCTTGTGGCGGCGGCGGCCGAACGGCGGCCACCGCTGGATGCGCGTGCGCCTCGTCCAATCCAATGGGATTCTCCTCCGCCGCCTCTGCATTCCCTGACGCCGCCGGCGACGTCGGTGGACCTACGGTGATGTCGTCCTCTTGCACACCGGAGATCGCGTGGACGAAGGAGAAGGCGGAGAAGGACCGTAGCCGCTCCATGACCATGGACGACGCGCTGCGAGTGAGCCTGCGCCTGGTCGACGACGGCGGCGGCGGCGGCGCCTGCTCATGCGCCCGGGACGACACAGCGACGGCGCCGACAACGACGGTGAACAGGACGAACCACGCGGCGCCCGGGCTGAGCCACGGCGGCAGCGGCCACCACCACAACGACGGCGACGACGACGACTCAACCGCGGCCATCGATCTTGTCACACACACTCTCACTACACCCCGGTCTTTGCTTTCTTGCAGTTGCAGCGATCTGCTCGTCCTCGAAACCTCTGTATATTAAGAATCTGTGAGAGATGGTTTGGTTGGTGTCGAACAATAAACAAATGAAAGATCGAGAAGAAGCAGTGCGCGCGGGCGCGTGAGACACATGACATGCTGATCATCTGGAGTGGAAAATCGCATTGGATCTCCACTTCTCTCTCTCAGCGTACACGGACTAAGCTGTACGTGGTTGTTAATTAAGCTTAAGCATGTGTAATTCATGCAAGTGGGTGAGAATTAATTTTTATTTGGACCGTGTTTAGTTTAATCACGGCCGGCCGGGCAGTAACCTGCGAGAAGATTCCCAACAACGGTTAACGATGATTAAATTAGCAACTCTGATATTATCTAAAAAAATTTTTGGAACTGTGATTGTTCATGGACGGAGGGCTAAACTATTACTCTCCGTTCTGTTTGAAAATAATTGTCGTTTTACAGAAAACCACATTTAAAAAAATAAATTTCATCACTCTTTTTCTATATTATAGAAATTCGATTTTATTGAAGTATATTTTAAAATTAATATGCATACTAGAAACAAATTCCCGTGCGTTGGAATGTGTAAAGATTATTTTAATTATACATACTCGCTGTCTATATGCATGGGTGTCATTATTAAAGGTATGGAAGTGGTCAAATACATTGTGTAAAAGTTTTCTAGCTAGCATGCTTTTTTTCAGAAAATCATAAGCTGTAAATTTCAGAAACACAATAGAAGGCAATATATCCACCGGTTGTCTTACATTATGCATCAAGCGTAGTCTGAATATGACACAATCCCTGTCTCGCATTGTGTGGGAAGCATGGTTTGAATCAGATAACAATCTCGCATTGTGTGGGAAGCATGGTGAATATTAGAGCAGGTATAATAAGTCCAGCTCTGCTGGCTAATAGCCAAGCCACGTCAAATAAGTCCTACGTGGATGAGGGAGATGAGATGAGAGAGAGGCAAGTGAGCGATTGCACAAGCGCCGGCTGAGCACAAGCGCCTAGGTGAAGAAAGCAAATGGCTAGTTAACACGTGCCTGCCAAGAGATAATTTCTGTGTATGAGCCTATCAAATTAGAATTGTGGGTCCGGTAAAAGATAAAATAGCTTTTAGAGATAATATGAGGATATTACTAATATACGCACTACATGTATATGGTTAGCTATAAAGCAGAGCTGGACTTCTTTGGTGCCGACGATAAGCTTTCTCTATTAACCTTGCTCTTAGCAGATGGATTAATATTTTATTAGCAAAGTGTTAGGATTGGACATTTGCATGTAGCGGTTAGGTTTGGAGTTAGCTTGTATTAATTATTATTTTATTATTTTGTTTCATTCAGTCGGAAAGATGACGTCTTAAAAATTATTTATTTAGTTAGCCATGTTAGGTTGGGTTATATTTAGTCTAATTAGTAGGGTGATCAATGCACTTCTGGAAAAAGATGAAAAACCATCTTTGATCGGTCGACCAAATTCCACAATTAATAGTCCCGGTTGCAATAAAACCAGACTAAATATAAGATTATCTTTAGTCCCGGTTCAAAAGTTTAGAGCTACTTTTTGATCTTTAGTCCCATTTGGTAACAACAATCGGGACTAAAGATTATTTTTAGTCCCGGTAAAAAAAAGGCAGGCGGTGTCAAACTCCTCTATTATCTTTAGTGACGGTTGGTGTTATCAACCGGGAAAAATGATCGGCATACGTGGAGAGGGCGAGGCGTGCGCGCGAGATCGAGGAGGAGGAGGCGCACAGGATCAGTTAATAAGTTCTATCTCCTCCTCCCTTTATCTCTTCTTCCTCATTCACCCCCATCTCTTCCTCTTCCTCCTCCTCCTCTCCTCTAACTACAAATGTCTAGGCCTAATGGTACACCCATAAATGTTTCTAAATCGATCACCACGTGTCACTCTAATAAATTGAAAAACTCTATAAGTGTGACAAATGAAAACAAAATATCCAACCATCGGTTTCCACTTGAACTAATGGATCCACTATCTTATATAGTTAGATCTATCTTTAAACGAAAATCCAAAAACTCCCTCCCTCCCATTTCTCCCGTTCCTCTTTCCCTACCATTCATTCTCTGTTCTTTATCTCCATAGCAACTAAATCCAAAATTATATTTAAGAGAAAAAAAAACACCTACAAATAGACTCCGCCTAACAAATCTAGCAACCTTTTACTCTGTCATGTGCTTCTCTTCTCTTTCTTCTCAAGCTAGCACTTATAGAAACAACATAAATTAGACTTTAAAATAATCATAAATTTTTAAATCTTATATTCAATTGATGACATTTCTAAACTATTACAATTTTCAATTAAATCAATAATTCAGTACATTGTGGACCACATCTATCTACCTTGAAGCCTCCAATAAATAAAATAAAATACTAAAATTTCTAATTAAAAAATAAAAAATCCCACCTTATGTTTTTAATAAACAGTCAACCTATTATTTATACCATGCTAAATATCTAATGACCTTCTTCCAACTCCTTCTATTTCAGATTACAAGTCATTTTAAATTTTGTCTATGTCAAGTTACTTGAATTAGTTTATAAAAACATAGTAACATTTTCAACACAAAACAATTATATTATAAAAAACATATTCAATTCTGAATTCAATAAAAATAATTTGGTGATGTAAATATTGATATACTTTCCTCAACAATGGAAGTAGTTAATTTCTCTTATACTTCATCCTAGATGCGCTTTTATGAATAAATGATCTTTTTAGAGATAAATAAATGTTCCTAAGATGATCATAACATCTAAATTATACCTATGATATTTGATGTCACTAATGGATTAGAGAAAAAGCTTTTAATTATATCATTTTTTATGTCATAACGTGTACCCTGTCTAGGATCTATTTGTTATAGACAATAGATTGAAAACAATTAAGCGATAACTTTATCCCATGCCAAGTTGTATGGCCTTAACCCACTTATATTTCTATACCAAATTGCAGAGACCAAAACATTTAAGGGATGCTTGATGAAATAGAAATCTAGAAAAAAAAATAACATGATAAAAATAATTGAAGACTGAACTTTGTTTTTCTAAATTTAAGATTTTTTTAATCTAAAACCCATTCTAAATAGCAATGTTCAAATATTTAGGAGTACTGATACAATGAAAATAATTAAAATTCTAAATAAAATATAATATAAAATTTGACATTTTGGGCATTATGTTGGAAATAAAATCTAACATAATATCAGTTCGAAGTATACAACCCTAAACTATAACTTGAGAACGATAAAAGTCTCATTTTCTAATATATTTTCTGTTTCTGATTTAGAAAAACTTTTACTGCTAAACCATAAATTCATACTGCAATACTATATACTTACAATTAAATCAATATTTCAACATATTCAGTTCATTTAGTTAGATGATGTAGTCGTATTAGCCATATTTTTAATAGAAAATATCTTCAATTAATATATCCTAAAATTCATAAAAACATATATAGTATACAAAAGAAAAATTGTTACTCATAGTTTAGAATGTGCAAAAATAAGATATGCTAAATATTAAAAAAAAGAAGTGCATTTTGTAGAAGTGATATATAGTTTCACATATATATTTTTCTTATAAAACCTAATTTGCATGGTTTTAAATAATTTTAGTTTAGAATTTATACACCAGCGATGGTTACTAGCATTCAGAGAAACACCACACAAATTATTGAAAAATTAAACATGTTTAAAATAGAGTAATCATAAACATTCCTAATCAAATTTCTAGCACAGTTAAATAAGATGCCCGCGCATACGCGGGCTATCTTTCTAGTTTTAGAAATTATTCGTAATCAAAATTCAAATAAGTTTAACATAGTCTCGTCCAAAATAACAACTATTTTTCAACACGGAGAGAGTACACTGTTAAATCTTTAAGGAAAAGTCTAGCTAAACTTCTGGCTTAACATCGTTAGCTGCAGTCTTAGCTATTCTAATTCTAATGGTAGTAGCAGTTTGACACATCAAACCTTTTTATGTAGCAACAAACTCTCGAGTGTGACATCCCCGCAATGCTCGAACACATTCGAGATCCATGGAAATTCTGAATCGATCAAGCAACTCCATCTCCTAGCTAGGCCTACCAGCCACCAAACCGATCGACCTCCCTCTCCGATCATATCCCTTTTCATGGCTTTTCATGCAGCTCTTTTGAGTCGATCATATCAGTGCTCTCTTGACAGCTTGCACACAGTTAAGCACCAGCTGTTGGCAACTGCACCATGCATGGATCGATGCTAGGCTCGATCGAAAATCCGTTTTACTTTTAATAGGCATCCGGCGATCGATGGAGACGAGTGGTGGAGAAAATGGCGGATGACATGGACAGCTGCTGAGGGCCTCTCCTATTCCTACGACGACGCCAGGGCCAGCCCTCCACCGTCGCCTCCGACCTCGCGACCTGGCGAGCCAGAGAGCCCCCGTCGCCGCTGCCGCCGCGGCTGCCGCCATGACCTCCACCACCACCATCACCACCACCAACACCACCACCACCACCACCAACAACAACAACAACCCCGTCTCCACCACCACCACCACCACTGCCTCCCACCAACGCCAGAGCCTTCCCGTCGCCGCCCGTCCTCCGCACTCCAGCGGCAGCGGCAGCGGCAGCGGCGGCTCGCATCGCGGCGCCAGCGGCGGAGGGAGCGGAGGAGGTGGTGGTGGTGGAGGTGGTGGTGGAGGTGGAGGGGGAGGGACGAATCAGGCATGCGCGGCGTGCAAGTACCAGCGGCGCAAGTGCAACCCGGACTGCCCGATGGCGCCCTACTTCCCCGCCGACCAGCAGCGCCGCTTCCTCAACGCGCACCGCCTCTTCGGCGTCAGCAACATCCTCAAGACGCTCCGCCACCTCAAGCCCGAGCTGTGCGACGACGCCATGCGCACGCTCATCTACCAGGCCGAGATGCGGGCCCACGACCCCGTCGGCGGGTGTTGCCGCGTCATCTGCGATCTCGAGCGCCAGCTCGAGCTCGACACGGCCGAACTCAACACCGTACTCCACCATCTGGCGATGTGTCGTCAGGCGGCTGCCGCTGGCGCGTCCGGTAGCGTCGCCGCTGCGCTGCCGGCAGGCGTGTTGGACGACGCGTGCGCCGATCTCGATGTCACCTCGTCAAACCAGCCTCTCCTACTCAGTGCGGAGCATGAGGTCGTTGATGCGCTCTATGCCAATCAAGAAGCCGATGCTGCGATCCTACACGCCGACGGCCATCATAATCAGGACGAGAGTCAGCGTGAACACCATCACGGTCAACCACAGCAGCTTTACGATTACTTCTACTACGACTCGACCGCCGGTGACGACGTCAGTAGCAAGCCGCATCTCGACATCAATGTCGATGGAATGCAGCATTTTGATTTCGACACCAACTATGATGCTGAACACAAGGTTGAGCTCACATCCGATCACCAAATGCCGGTAGGGGTGGATGAGCACAACCAGATTGATGATAAGGGGTTCGAGATAAAGTCGGGACCGTCACTCGTCGATGTGTTCGACCTTCGGCAGGAGGAGGAGCAAGTGCAGACGGTGGACGTGAACACGGACATCGAGGTCAAGGAAATGGTGGATATGAACGCCGACATCGATGTCAAGACAATGGTGGACGAGAACAGCAACATCGACATTATCAAGACAATGGTGGACGTGAACGCCGACATCGTCGACGTTGTCAAGACGGTGGTGGACGTGAACGGCGACATTGGTGTTAAAGAGGAGCTGCCGGAGCTGGACAATGGCAAGATCATAGCAGGTGATGCGACTCAAATGGCCGAGTCGTCGCATTGCAGACTAGGATTAGGTGTTTCTTCGTTCTAATTGTTCCGTCATCATCGTCTCGTCCGTATGCATATGTGAAGGAGGTATGCATTCGGAATTTTCTTGGAGATGATGTAGAGAATTTTGAAAATTCAGTCGAGTGTTCAAGGGAACAATTTGATATCAGGATTAGATTCTTTTTGTATTTTTGCTAATAATAATATGGTACGGGTGTGAATATATCTGGCATTGTAATTATCCTACTGCCAAATAATAATTAATGTATCTTGGTTCCATTCATTTGGGAAAGAGATGTTACTCCTGGCAGTGGCATCCATTGTGTAAGGATGGCGGCGGGGGGCCTTCTCGCGGTGGTGCCCCTTCTCAGCGCGGGGGATGCATCGTTCGCCGGCGGCGGCGAGGCCTTCAGGTTAATTGGGCTGCTGTAGATCCGGCCCCGCTGTCGCCAGATCTATGACGGCGATGTCTGGAAGCGTGTTGCGGAGGCGGTACGGCCGGCGGAGGCCGCTGCGGCGCGAGGCGGCGTGGTGGTTGTGGCTCGTGGGATGCATGGCTGGCGCCCGCGAGGCGTCGCTGCTCGCGGGCGCGAGGTGGCGTGGCGGTTGCGACTCGTGAGGTGGCCGGCGGTGACCGGCGCTCGCGGCGTGTCGCGGCGCGAGGTGACTCGTGAGGCAGCAGGCGGCGGCAACCGGCTCCGGGTCGACGGCATGTCGGCCTGCTGGGGGTGTGCGCTGGCTGGCTGCCCCCACCCCCCCCCCCCCCACCGCACCCCCTCTGATCACCCTTCCTTTCTCTCTACCTCCTTGCTCTTCCTCTCTATGCCGCCTCTCGGCACAAACTGTTGGGGGAGACCATCCTCTCCCCACTCCCCCGCAGCGCTCCCCTCTCTGCACTGGTGGTGAAGTTGCAGGTGGTCGCCACAGCCCTATGTTCAGCTCTTAGTTCCTCTCCGGGCCGACCATGCCTCTTTGGTGCCTCCCCTTCCCTTGGCTGTCTACTTCCAGATCTGGCCGTGGTCTCTTTCGGTGCTTGAGGAGTTTGTTCGTCCGTGGTATTGGTCCTGTTTGTACGTAGATAGGGCTCTTAGGCCTCACCGGTGCTTCACGTGCACTGTGGCTTTCTGAGCTTGTTGTGGTGCTGAGGTTGGAGCGGTGTGCTTACCTCCATGGTGCGAGAGCTTTTGCTCAAGCCCTGCATGCTCTTCCAGGATCGGCAATATCGACGTCTGCGGGTGCCGATTCCTCCTTGGAGGTGTTGCCTTATGGACTCTCTCCCACCTAGGTGAAAACCCATTCTGGGCGGGCGTCGACAATGGCTTATGTCGTTGTTCACATTCTTGAAAGCTTCGTCGTGTTGATATTCTTGAAGGCTTCGTCTTAGGGTCTTGCTTTTCCCTCAGCATTCTGTGGTTCGTAATTGTTTTGCCTCATGCTTTTTGTGTCTTCTGTGTAAGATTTTCGTAGGTTTCACTTCTGCAAACCGTGCAGTTATATGGTTTTTAGGCCCGATTTTGCTTATAAATAGGATTAACTCTATCTTTCTAATATATTCGGCAATAACTTTTGCCACTTGCACTTGAAAAAAAGTAAAACCGTGGTGTGCCCCAAAAATAATTGATGAAAAAAAAAAGAGAAAAAAGGATGAGGGTATGTTGAGGTAGTGGGCTGCTTAGCTCGCCTTCAGCAGCAACAGAGGCTTTGGGCCTTTGTCCAACTAGTGTTGAGCAACAGTAGTTGCAGCTGCATAGCAGCTCGGCAAGGTAGAAAGCAGTAACACCTGTAGCGGCAATAATACCACCTCGCTTAGCTAACTAGAGTAGCACCGATTAATCCCATTTTGAAGCTAGGAAGAGGGTTAGTGCACATGTTATTTAACTAGATGAGTTGTGTGTTTCCCAGGTTTAGCCACACTACTGAAAAAGCATTTTCGCCAATATTAGGTATTTATTTTTACAGACGGGCATGACCCTTAGAGCCAAATAGCCGCCTACAAAAATGCAAATCGGGGTGAAGGGCGCTGCGGACCACTTAAGCGGTGCCTGCTATTTTCGCAGGCGGACCACATAAAGTGTGCTTGCGAAAATTAGCGTGGTATATATATGTGGCACGTGGGCTGATATTTTTCTAAGTGTCTTTCCTCTCCCCTTCTCCTCTTATCCTCTCCCCTCCCCTTCACCTCCCCGTCGGCGGAAGGGGCGGTCGGCGGCGGCTCCCCTCCCTCCCTCCCCTCCAGATCTGGCCGGAGGGGGGAGGGGGGAGGCCGGTGGGGAAGGGCGGACGGCGTCAGGCAAAGCGCGGACCGGCGGCCGGGCGCAGGGCGGCCGGCGGTGGCTCCCCTCCCTCCCTCCCCTCCAGATCTGGCCGGAGGGGGTGGGGGAGGCCGGCGGACGGCGGTGAAGGACGGATGCCGTCGGGCGAGGGGCGGACGGCGTCGGGTGAAGGGCGAACGGCGTCGGGCGTGGGGTGGCCGGCGGCGGCTTCTCTCCCTCCCTACCCTCCAGATCTGGCCGGAGGGGGGTGGGGGGAGGCCGGCGGCGCGGGACGGCGCGAGGCGGCTGGCGGCGGCTCCCCTCCCTCCCTCCCTCCCAGATCTGGCCGAAGGGGGGAGGGGGGAGGCCGGCGGGCGGGCGGACCGGCCGGCGGCACGGGGCAGATGGCGGCGGGGTGCGTCCGTGCGACGGCGATGACGACATCCATGGAAAATTTGTGATTTGATTTGATTGTGAACCACTACGATGTCTGTTAATCTGTTATGTTTTTGTGTATTTGATTTGGTTTGATGTTGAATCTGGATGAGGGAATGGGAGGAGAATGGAAAGCTACTGCTATTGGCTGGAACGGCAGTGGGCGGTGGCTGCCCTTTTTTTTTTTAATGCCAGGTGCTATTTTCGCAAGCGGACTAGTTGTCCGCCTGTGAAAAGTAACTATTTTCACAATCGTTCAGTTGCACTCGTCCGCCTGCAAAAACCTGTTTAGGCCGCCTGTGAAAAGCTGTTTTCTAGTAGTGCCAAGGCATAGCTAAGGACCCCCACTAGCTACTGGTTTTATTTTGTTGGGTTGGTATCGCTACCGCACATGATTTTGAGATTAATTTCCAATGTCATGATGATATTAGTTAATTTCCAATGTCATGATGATATTAGTGAGGAATGTCTTTATTATAACATTTTTGCCTTTTCGGGTAATCTGTTTTATGTCGCTTGGCAAGGAAATTTTGAATCATGGGTACATGATCCTTTACACGTAAGACCTGTTAGTCATGCAATTTGGGTGGAAGCCTTTACTCGAGGAGACGCCGCCGGTCCAGTAAATATCACCTATTCTACACCTATTCTAGGGTTTGTCGGTGGTGGTGCACAATTGGATTACAAACAAATGAATATCTTTATATAGGAGCTATTTTTATATTATTTCCTTCTACAAAACGGAGAAGGCTAAACATGCTCTCATCAGGGTTTCTCTTAATGCCGATAACTGCGCGTTTATCGCGGGGTACGGTAGGGGTTACCGGTGGTAGGGTTTGGTGAATTTTGCCCACATTCAAAATTCTGAAAAAACTGAAAAAAAATCGTGGATATAGTTCTTCATTTTTAGTGGCGGATGGTGAAGAAATTTTTTTGAAAAAGAATTAGATAAATTCAATTTTGAGGGAAAAACCGAAAGTACATTAGAAATGAAAAAAATAATAAGGTCTTATCTTGTACTACTGTCCAGTCCATTAAGGCCTATAAGTGGAGAAAATATCTCCTGGTCCTCTCATCTCTCTCTATTGCTCTCTCTATTGTGGACTCTATTATTTCAGCTTCATGTGGACATCATAATGCTTTCAAATGTGAGGTTGTTGAATTATTGTTGTCGAATTATTATGCTACGAAATGTTGAATTGCGTTGAAGTCCATAATATAGAAAAAGGTCATATTGATTTTTTGTATTTTACACCCCAAAAGTTATGTTTGCAAGTTTCCTCTATATTCTTCTAATTATTCCCAATTTCTACATGAATTTAAATGTTTTTTCAATTTTTTCTAACAGCTTCTCTGTTCTGCTACACAATTAGCGGTAATCGCGCGATATTCGTGGTTACCACGCGAAACTGCACAGTAACCACGCTGAAACCATCGATTTTTTAATTCAAATATTTGAGAACGAATTTCACGTGGTTTCCGACGGTTACCACGCGGTTCTGTCTTACCGCGGGGGAGTGAAGTTATCATCCAATGGTTACCGCGTGGTTTACGGTAAGGGAAACCCTAGCTATCATCCAATGTCTTTGTAAAGTTTGTGTTTTCAGGTCTAACATGCTCTCATCCAATGTCTTTGTAAAGTTTTCTTTGAAAGGATCTGATGTCGCGAGGTGAATGTGCGTTCCTGAAAACAGAGAAAGCCTTTCCAAGAAACAGAACAAAACGTTCAGATCCAAGTATCATATACTTTGTGTTCCTGGAAACACTAGCAATGGATTTTAAATCCTCGTAACTACCCAAGACTCCGATCAGAATACAAGAGATGGGCAAAGCCACAAGGGACAAAACGTTTGGATCCAAGGATCACTAGAAACCTCTCTCTTTGAAAGGAAAGTTCTCTACAAAAAGCCTGCGCCTGTCACGCCCAGATTCTGGACACATTGTGTGATATTACTCTGAAGAATGGAGAGGAGCTCCGTGAAGAAGACTATCATACCATGCTTGATTTCATGTTGAGCCGACTCCAGTCCGACGTCAATCCCCAGGCGCTGAAGGAGCTGCTGAACAGACTCCAAAACAGTCAGGCACAATCTCAAACTTCTAGGGCGGCAAGGAGATTCCTCGACGAGGATTAGTGAGGCTATAGTACTGACTATGCATAGACGCGCGGCCTTGCCGCGCCCAATTTAGATTAGGGTAATCTGCTTTATCAAATAGCCTTGTTTATGATCAGTAGTTTTTTTATTTCTTAACACGTTGAAGCAGAAACCTAAAGAAATAAATTAATAGGGGTTGGGACTTGAGATCAGAAGAGGAAAATAAAATGTTCATGCACACGAGCAAAAAAAATGACTCGGTAGTAGCATTGCCAAGGAATTTATGTATTTATCAGGTGAGTAGTATTAATTACACCATTGATATTTGCTAACATGAAAAAAAAATGTAATGCCCTATTCGGATGCTTTGTTAGCATCAAGTTTTGCAATTCCAATTTGTGTTTCTTCCTTATTTCTGAAAAGTAAAAAAAAAATAAAAATACACAAAAACGTCTACTTCGATTGGTTAAAGATTGCATCTAACTATACAGGTATCATAA